AACAATAATAATTTATTTTCTTGGATTTTATAACACTAATTATTTAGCTAACGAGATAATATAAACGGGGTTATATGGGATGACGGGTTTGGGTCGATATTAATAAAAAACGGTATATCACAGATGAAATCCTAAAATTAACAATCAAAATACAATTATACAATCTTAAACACAAAACAAAAGAAACAATATTAACAAAACAAATCCAACTTAAATTTAAAATTTTTAGTTATAAAAAAACTGACCCACGGTATACTGCAGAGTAAAATATTCAAAATTTTAAAATCCACCATACATCGTTACTTAAAAAAAATATATCTTTTCGTATCTATACTTCAAAAATTGATAGATTGATATATACATTTAAAAATACAAATTAATATTATATATCTTCAGTTAATCTTTTAAAAAATAACATTATATTTTTTTTTTAAAATATAGCCCCGCGATATACCGCGGGTTAAATTCTAGTTATTTACAATCTCTTATTATTCAATATATAATATGTAAAAATGATATCAAAATCTAGTGCTATTCAAAAATTAACATGTGTTTTGTAGAAAATATTGAAATTGATTTTGAGAGACTTTTAACACTCATTTAGTTGAAAAACTAGGACAAATAAAAGGTGTGATTTGGAGAAATTTATAAATTAAAAAAATTGTTCACATAAAATATTGTAAGAAATACTTTCTCATTATTCATCCTTTAATCATAGATGATTTAGCTAAATCTGAGACTCCCCAACCTTAATTGGTTCAACTTTTGTTTAACTAATATAAATTTGTAACATAAAAATTTGGATAACAAGAATCAAATCCATTTTGCTCAAAAAAAAAAAAAGAATCAAATCCATTAAACTCAATATGGAACACAGATATCTCACCAATCAAACAACACCACGTGTCGACTCCTCACTCATCCTAAAACCACAGCCTAATCCTTCTGAAAACTCCACACAAGATAAACCTTCTAATCTCCACCGTCGATCTAACCACAATCCAAAATCTCCACCGTCCATTCTCATCTCCCTCAAAAACCTTACCTTCTTCTTCATCTCCTCCTCCTCTATCGTCTTCGAGAAACCACAAATCTTTTTCTTCCTCTCTCTAACTCTCTCAACAATGGCGTCTCTTCAACAAACTCTATTCTCTCTTCAATCAAAACTCCCACCATCCTCCTTCCAAATCGCCAGATCTCTCCCTCTCCGAAAAACCTTCCCAATCCGAATCAACAACGGTGGAAACGCCGCCGGAGCAAGAATGTCAGCCACCGCAGCATCAAGCTACGCGATGGCTTTAGCAGACGTCGCTAAAAGAAACGACACAATGGAATTAACAGTCTCCGACATCGAAAAACTCGATCAAGTCTTCTCAGATCCAACAGTACTAAACTTCTTCGCGAATCCAACAATCACCGTCGAGAAGAAACGTCAAGTCATCGACGACATAGTGAAATCATCATCTCTTCAATCTCATACCTCTAACTTCCTCAACGTCCTCGTCGACGCGAATCGGATCAATATCGTGACGGAGATTGTTAAAGAGTTTGAATTGGTTTACAATAAGCTAACGGATACACAATTGGCGGAGGTTAGGTCGGTGGTGAAATTGGAACCGCCGCAATTAGCTCAGATTGCGAAACAGGTTCAGAAGTTAACCGGAGCTAAGAATGTTCGGGTTAAGACGGTTATTGATCCGAGTCTTGTGGCTGGTTTTACGATTCGGTATGGTGATTCCGGTTCAAAGCTTATTGATATGAGTGTGAAGAAGCAGCTTGAAGATATTGCTCAACAGCTTGAACTTGGTGAGATTCAATTAGCTACTTGAAAATGGGAATTGTATTAAGAGAAATTTGAGAATCTTTTTTTTTTCTTGTGCAATTTTAATTTTTTTTCTTCTTCTTCTTCTTTCTCTATTAATCAATCATATAATATACTGATGATATAATAATAATTCTGAGTTTATTATCTTTGTAATTCGAAATCGGGTAAAAATGCATCGAAATCGAATAGATTGTTTACAGTTTTTACGATTCGGGGAATGATTTACGATTAAATTGCTTTTGAATTAAATGTCGTTAGTTCAACTGGTAAAGATCCTAGAAATCTTAGAGGTCGCCGGTTTGAGTGAAGAACTTTGAATTGTTATATTGTGAAGAAAGTGTAAATCTATCTCTACATGTTTGGTTTGTTGATGTTGGACCGTGTTGCGAGGAGAGATAGACAAAGCTTATGTTATCGGATAACACAAGCGTCGTTGTATTCATAAGGCAATTGAGCTTGAGCAAAAGGTTTTTGACGATTGATTTGTCCCACAATGTTTGCAACTTGTAGTTTGTAAGGACAAAGATACTAAATCTTCTTCTAAATAAACTGATGTTGTGTTTGGACAACCACATGCCTACTAAGATTGTGGATTCAAGATTAGTAGAGTTGCATGAAACAACCGATCAAAAAATCAAATACTATGATTTTATAAGTAAACGAGCAAGCCGAAATATGAAAAAATTTCAAAATTTGAGACCAAAACATTTTAATGATCTAAGGCTAATATCATTTTATAAAAAACAAGAAAACCCTTAAGTCTCACATACATGTACCCCAACGATCTCTTTGATCTCGCTTTATACTACTGCGAACAATTACTCTTAACATGCATTACAAAGGAGGTGTGAATAATGAGTTATCCAGTAAAAACGTTCACTCTCGGTTACATACTAACAAGAATAACGAACAATGTAATTCAATTAGCATTTAGCAACATATTTTAGTCCGTCTTTCATGCAACCAATTTCCGTTTTTCATTTCCTTAATATCTACCATTTGTACATTATCGATCCGAACACTATTAACGATTCGAAAGATAGAATAATTATAAATATCAATACGAACCCAAAGGCCATACGATCATGAATATCAAAACGATCCGTATACCATAATATTCTTGAAGATCAAAACAATTTCAAATGCCACAATTTTGAAGATCAAAACAATCCCCAAAACCAAATGATCTCGATTCTCCAAGATCTAAACGACCATAAAAGTCAAATCAGTCTCAAATCATATATATGAAAGTTGGCCAACTCTCTCAATCCTTCCGCCACGTCAGCAGTGGAGAGAGTGTCATGTGTCACAACAAATTACATTTATTATTTTATTTTATTTAATTAAAAATTTAAATCATGCATTAATTTTTGTTTAAATGAAAATTGACATATTTAAATTATTAATCTGTATAGAAAATAAATCGTTACAAAAGTATATCAAACTCATATAGAAAATAAATTATTTAAATTTAGTTGTATAAATTGTATAAACTTATGTGTAAACATAAAATCAATGGAATTTTAATTAAATTTTAGATTTTATTAACGTATAAAAATAAATAATATGATATTAGAATTTATTTCATGTTTTCATATACTAATACATATAGGATGGGCTTTGTCTATTTAAACATAAAATCTATCTCCCTCTGTTCCATTTTGTTTGTAGTTTTAGGCTTTTTTTTTTGTTCCAATTTGTTTGTTTTTCTCACATATCTATGCAAAATTTTACTTATTCCAACAATTTATATTTTCTTAGTAATTAATTTAAATCCGAAAATAATTAATAAATTTTGGTCAAAGAAGTCCAAAAGTCCAAATATAACAATTGACAAAAGCATACGTAGTCAAAGCATTGTTTAATTATTTATCTTAATTATCTAATTAATGATTTTTAACCAAAATTAAGTTTCCTTAATAAGCGTGCTTTTAGTTAAAACTACAAACAATATGGGACAGAGGGAGTATTAAACAATGTAACTAAATTCATAATTAATAATTGGATTTGAGGAAATTCATTTTTCATTGTTAGTCATTACCAATTCCACTATTTTCTTTAAATATCCTATCTTTCAACATGTCACAACCTACTTCGGACCAATATCTCATTTTACCACTTTCATCATAAATCATGCTCGATGCCAAAAACAAATCAAACATCACCTAGTATTTCTTATCGTCTATGTTCTTTAGGCTTAAATGTTCGGCCCAATTAATTAGCTTTCTGTGATGGGCTTGCTTGTAATAAGTTATATGAACATCCTCATTAAAAACCCTAATGCATTTTCAATACGCGATTAATATTCCTACATTTAACGTTCTAACGTCTAAACATCCGTAAAGGCACTAATCACGTACCTACTTCACAAGGTGTGAACACTATGGCAACACTAGGGTTCACAAGCCATGGCTCTTCGTATTCTAAGCGTGAGCTTTGTCATTACCATCATGTTATTTCCAAGACACCTCTTTTTGCTAATAACATTTTTAATAAACAATTAATTTCTATTATAACCAACGCTTCCTCTCCTCTCTCAACTCTCTATATATATAAACAAACCCTCCGTTCTCTTGTAAAAACAATTTAGGAAGGAAAAAGAATCACTACAATAATGAGTTCAAACATATCTTCGACAACTACGCAGACTTGGAGAGAACGTCCTCCTTCTTCCTACTCCATCAAAGTCAAAAACCTCTCCCAATTCGAGAGCTCAACTCTTCACTCTGATGGAAAATACCAATCCCGTTTTTTCTCCTCTGGTGATTATAAATGGTACGTGTGTTTTGACTTAGTGTCACAAGTTCCATAGATTTACACCATCTCCTTTTCATTCATTTTGTCCTTAATCTATTTAAATGATGTATCATCTTACCTTATGCAAATATTGAATATAAAAACTTTAGGAGAATGATCATATACCCAAAAGGGAACGACAAGGACAATGGGAGGGGATTTATTTCAATGTATGTTGAAATAGATAGCACAAGCCTCATTTCCACAACTCCAACTGAGGTGTATGCAAATCTCCAGTTTTTTGTTTTTAACAAAAAAGAAAACAAGTACTTTACTATTCAAGGTATGTATGTTCATGTGTATTCATGTATATTCGCTTTTGCTCTCTTGGTATATTAAGTGTCTTAATTTGTATATATTCAGATGTGGAGTCAAAGCCGTTCAATACACTAAGAACGATGTGGGGGTTGTCTCAAGTGCTTGCGCTTGATACATTCAATGATCGTAATAATGGATACCTCTTTGTTGGAGATCATTGTGAGTTTGGTGTTGATATCATTGTTGTCCCACCACCAACCAAATGGGAAATCCTCTCTTTTGATGAGAAATTATCTTTTCCTAAGTTCTCTTGGACTGTTAAAAACTTCTCTGAGATCAAGGAGAATCCTTACTTATCTGACAGCTTTTCAAAGGGAGGAAAGGAATGGTAAAGTACACACAAATTATGAAACAACAAATATTTGCTTTCATGTTTATGATTGTGTATAAAAACGTTAACAAGGGTAAAATAATGTTTGGTAGGGTTTTAGAATTGTATCCCAAGGGCTACTCTACAGAAGATAGTAAATGGTTATCCATTTATCTGTCTTCAAAGGAAGATGAGAAGATTTACGTTCAAGCAGAGGTGAAAGTTGAAGACCCATTTGGATCCAATCACCTGACAAAGCAGCGTATGTCATCATAAACCAGTATATAAATTATTATAATTCCTAGCTTTCTTAAATTAACTATTATTAATAACGAGATTTACTTGGCTTACCCATTTCTTAATTAATCAATGCTTACAGACTTACAGTACATATTCTATGTTATGTATTGCAGTTAACTGGTGGTTCGACAAATCATGCCTAGATTGTGGTTGGGATGATTTCGTGTCTGTAGCTGAACTTCGAAAGTCTTATTTGGACAAGGAAGACACTTTGAAAGTTGAGATTGAATTTAAAGTTGTTTCTGCGACCAAATATTCTTCCGTGACCTGATTAGTTCTACTTTTAGACTATCTATGTTTCCCAGACGCTCTTAAATCATCTCTAAAGTTCTTTAGTTTTTATAATCTATTTGTACTAATTATCCGCCAAATTTTCTTAAATTGTAAGATCGGTTTTCTTTTTTTTGGTATTATTCAACTTTTCACTTTCATAACGAGACCAGTTTTGTCTCAACGATAGTCACAACTTGTTAACTTTACAACAAATCTTCTTAAAAATGTTTGAAAACTTTTAAATCAAATTAATTCAAACAACAAATCTTTGTTGTTCTACATTGATTGATGATTATAATGAATCTAAGTAAATTAATTAGAGCAATATATGGGTTGAATTTGGAGTAAACTAATATTTAGGTTAAAAGATTTTATTTTTCGACGATTAGGTTAAAAGATTTATCTCATAATATACGATATATAAACTATATATACGTGATATATAGGATTTGAACGATATATACCTTGGATAAACATATAACGAAAAGTTGCACTCCAATTTGTAATTGGAAGACCAATGCTTTCCACGTCAGCCGGGGTCAAACCCTAGGGTTACACCAGTATATATATTTGGTCTCATGGCTTTGAGGAGAGATCAGATAGTTTTTACAAAATAAGCTCACGTTTTTAAAGCCTTAAAACCCTAGTGGAAGAAGAAGACCAATCTGTGCTTGTGGATACCGACACTTTTTTATTTTTAATTCTGTCATTCTTCTCTATTTTTCTCTCTCATATATATTAACAAATTTTCGGATCTTTTGTGTTGCAATTCAGTTTTGGAGGAAGAAAAGTTTGTCTACAATGTTGTCAAACATATCTTCTACAACTATGCAGAGTTGGAGAGAACGTCCTCCTTCTTCCTATTCCATCAAATTCCAAAACCTCTCTCAACTCCAAAGCTCAACCCTTCACTCGGATGGCAAATACCAATCTCGACTTTTCTCCTCTGGTGATTACCAGTGGTACGCGTATTCACTTAGTGCCACACCCACATGTTCCATAGATGTTTTATCTACCTCAATATCATTCATCATCATCAGAATAATTAATCTTTATTTATTTTTTATATGATATATCATCTTTCCTTGTGCATAAATATTTTTCAGGAGAATGATCATATACCCAAAAGGAAACGACAAGGACGATGGGAGTGGATTTATTTCAATGTATGTTGAAATAGATAGTACAAGCCTCAAGGCTACACCACCAACTGAGATTTATGCAGATATCCGATTTTTCGTCTTTAACAAAAAAGAAAACAAGTACCTTACAATCCAAGGTATGTATATGTACTTGTATTTTTTTTCTTATAGTTCTTTCTATATATATATATATGTATTAATATTGCATATATCTATATATAGATGTGGATTCGAAGCCGTTCAATACATTAAAAACGATGGGGGGATTACCGCAAGTGCTTGCGCTTGATACATTCAACGACCATAAAAACGGATACCTCTTTGATGGAGATCATTGTGAGTTTGGTGTTGATATCATTGTTGTTCCACCTCCAACCAAATGGGAAATGCTCTCTTTTGTGAAACTTCATTATCCTAAGTTCTCTTGGACTATTAATAATTTCTCTAAGATAAAGGAGAATCCTCACACATCAAACAGTTTCTCAATGGGAGGAAGAAAATGGTATCATAATTTAATTTTTTTTATGTACATATACATATACGGGAGAGCATAAGATTGTTAACAAGTGCATAATAATGTTTTGTAGGGTTCTCAAGGTATATCCCAAGGGCTACTCTACACCAAATAGTAAATGGTTATCCATTTATCTGTATTTAGCTGATGGTGAAATTTTAAAGAACGATGAAAAAATTTACGTGCAAGCACAAGTGAAAGTTGAAGACCCACGTGGATCCAATCACTTAACATGCAAGCGTATGTTATAGAACACTATTTCTTAGCTTATGAGGAGAAATTAATTATGGCTAACGAGATGTAATCTGTTTTATTGCAGTTAACTGGTGGTTCAATAGACCAGGCCAAGGTTATGGTCGGGATCACTTCGTGTCTACAGCTGAACTTCGAAAGTCTTACTTGGACAAGAAAGATACTTTGAATGTTGAGGTCGAATTTAAAGTTGTTTCTGCGACCAACTATTCTTAATTCCTTTACCTAACTCCCAAAAGTCATAGATTTTGATTTTTGTTTACAATTTTTAAAATTTTTATAACTTTTATTAATGTATTAATTAAGTTAAATTTAGTAATTGAGTTCCATGGATGCTAGAGTCTAAAAGTTAACTTGTTCTCATTTGCAACTTCCAGAAGGCCAAATAGTCACTAATCTGTTCTTCTTAAAAATGTTGAAGTAACTTTCTAGTAACATTAAATTTTACATTTTTATTAGTAACAACATATAACCATACGGATACAGGCCGACACAGCAGAGGACCATACATATTGGTAACGACACTTAAACGTATGATCGAAGTTTGAACATAGAGAGCGAGAGAGGAGAGAACTCATGACAACATTTCTAATTTGAGTCCTTTCCTTCAACGACCAGAGAGACTAATCTGTTGATAGTTTTTATCAACAGACTCTTTAACAGCATCAACCACTAGCTGCGTCTTTCGGCTAATACTAGGCCAGTACCCATCAGGCTTTGCACCATTGTTCTTGATTTCTCCAACCAATCGAGCAAATTCCCTCACCATACATGCCTCTTGTGGAAGCTCTGTCTTAACCGTGTGCTCACTCGGGGGACTAACCCACGCAGTCACAAGGTCGTTAAACCAAGCTTTAGTGCTCGTGGTAAACGACGCCTCAGTCTCCTTATACGGGATAATAAAGTCGTGAACACGAAGTGTCCCTTTCGTTCCAATGGCAGTTATCTCCATTGTCAAGTTCGCCAAAAATGAACAATATATAGTTGCAGTTCGACCGTCTTCCCAGCTCAAAGATGCTCCACAGGAAAGAATCACTCCAGCCTCGTTTAACACAGCCCCGGGAAAAGCCGTCACAGTTTTCGGAAGCTCAAAGTTATTAGCTAAAAGAGTTGCTCGAATCGCGTACCACCCAGCATCTCCTAACGCACCAAGCCCATCAAGACCCGGTTTCACACGGATATCGTTTTTGAGAAAATCTTCATCTCCAGCAAATGAGAAACAACTCTGTACCTACAGATTCAAACATCAAGTATAAATAACTCTTTCAAGACACTATCAAATCTTCAAGAAGCTAGAAAACTACACAAGCCAGAAACTTGATCAAACCTATACACTGAGAACCAAAGCTACAAACTTTAAAGAAACCCATAAAACTAGAATCAATTCCAATCCAATTCCAACAACAAAGACATAAACTTTCATGAAAACCAAACACTAACTTACAGTTTTAAGCTGACCAAAACGTTCAGAATCAGACAAAAACTCTTTAAGCAAAGCAGTTCTAGGATTATGAACCCACATAGTACCATCCATAATCTGAACACCATTAGCTTCACAAGCAACAACAATCTTATCAAACTCAGTTACATTCATAGCAACAGGCTTCTCCAAAAGGATATGTTTCCCTTTCTCAGCTGCTTTAATAGCCCACTCAACGTGAAGACTAGTGGGCAGAGGAACATAGAGAGCATCGATCTCTGGATCTTCGAGGATTGATTCGTAAGAGCCGTGGATTTTGGTTGATTCTGGGTAGTTATTAGCGGTGGCGAAAGATTTGGCTTTTTCTAAAGAGCGGCTTGCTACGGCGGCGATTGTGGCGTTGGGAGCGAGGTTGATGGCTCGAGAGACTTTTCGAGCGATGTCGGCGCAACCCATTACTCCGATTCGGATTTGGGTGTCCGTAGCCATTGTTGTGGGTATGGATTTTTTTTTTCCGGCGAGAGATGAGAGCGAGTGGTGATAGAGAGAATGAAACGAGAGATCATCTCTTGTGTCCCTTTTGTGGCACAAATAATCTGCAAAACCACTTTAGAGTCTTCATATCCCTTTTCACTTAATGATTTGTGTTTAGACAAATTTACCCTTATAATTTATTTTGAATAATAATTAATATTTCTAGAAAACATTTTGAAACCAAAAAAAAACAAAAAACGAAAAAAGAAAAAAAAAAAAGCGAGCTCCGGCGAGCTCGACTTCTTCTTCGGGATTCTTCCTCCGGCGAGCTCCGGCGAGCCGCATTGTCGTTTTTCTCCTCCTGCAAGCTGCATCAATCTACTAAGTCCAGGTATGGAGAGAGCTTCAAAAGCTTTGAATTACATATTTTGAGGATTTTGAGATTCAATCCAATTAGATTTGGGTTATTGTGTTTTAGCACCTACATTAGAAGTTTAAGTATAGATTTAGGCTTCATTTGGTCTGTTAATGGGTAAGCAATTGATTTCACATGCTGATTCATACTAAATTGAACTCAAATCGAATATTTGTTCTTGTCGCGAAAATAATACTGGTCGAACTAGCTATAGTAGTACCGTTATTTATATAGATAATATGTTTAAACAGCACCAGTATTACTTAGACACGTAGTATTTCATATATGTAATAGTATTACTCACACATGTAATATTTCAGAATTAGTACTAGTATTACTGACAATGTACTAGAATCGGTAATACTAGTAATATTGACTGAGTATGTGTATTGTTTTGGCAGGTTACAATGAAAGAGAACGTGATCATATATTTTAAATTCCAAGGTCGCATGTATAATGTGATGATGAAGACATTAGGGGAGAAGATTACTTTCTCAATGTTAGAAGATAGGCTAATGACGAAGCTTGGATTAGATGGAAATAAGGTAAAATTGCATATGAGGTACAATCCACGGTTGTTCGGAGTAGAGGAAGAAATGAACGTTTGTGATGATGAGGATGTCTGTGTTTATGTAACATCCGCAAAAAATAACCGGAGAAGTGTTTTGGTTGTGGAGGAGATCTCTAAACCGCCCGAGCCGGAGCAATTGCCCGAGCATTTGTCTAGAGTTGGTAATAGTTCTGTTGGTAAGAGCTATACGGAGTTGAATTCAGAGGAGGATGAAATGAGAGTGGATGATGGTGCACTCATCGTCTTATTAGAAGAGGAACAAGGAACTCAACATCAACTTGAGGCAATAGTGGAGGATCACGGGACTCAAGAAGATGAAACACGCTATGATGAGTCTATGGATAATTCTGATAGGGGGGAACAGTATGTTGAGTCGCCACCTGCTGTAGAACCGGGTATGTTTAAAAAAGAATGGGAAGACGGAATTGGGTTGACCTTACGTCAAGAATTTCCAAACAAGGCGGCATTGCACGAGGTGGTGGATAGAGCTGCATTTGCTAACAGTTTTGGTTATGTGATTAAGAAGTCGGATAAGGAGCGCTATGTCCTAAAGTGTGCCAAAGAGAGCTGTTCTTGGCGTTTACGAGCGTCCAATATTAGTACTACTGATATATTCTCGATTAGAAGGTACAATAAGATGCATAGTTGCACTCGGCTAAGTAAAGGTAGTAGTAGGCTCAGGAAAAGAAAAGGCAACCCCCAATTAGTCGCAGCTCTCCTTCATGATCATTTTCCGGGACAGTTGGAAACTCCGGTTCCAAGTATCATCATGGAGCTAGTTCAGACGAAATTAGGTGTGAAAGTATCATACTCGACAGCGCTAAGGGGGAAATATCATGCGATTTATGATTTAAAAGGTAGCCCGGAAGAAAGCTATAAGGATATCAATTGTTATTTATACATGTTGAAGAAGGTAAATGATGGTACAGTTACTTATCTGAAATTGGATGAGAATGATAAATTTCAGTACGTATTCGTAGCTTTGGGAGCTAGCATTGAAGGTTTTAGAGTGATGAGGAAAGTTTTAATTGTGGATGCAACACATTTGAAGAACGGCTATGGCGGAGTGCTAGTGTTTGCCTCGGCTCAAGATCCTAACCGTCACCATTACATCATAGCGTTTGCCGTACTCGACGGTGAGAATGATGCTAGTTGGGAGTGGTTTTTCGAGAAGCTAAAAACGGTTGTACCCGATACTTCGGAATTGGTTTTCATGACGGACAGAAATGCAAGCCTCATAAAGGCCATACGGAACGTGTATACCGCGGCTCATCACGGGTATTGTATTTGGCATTTGTCCCAAAATGTGAAAGGTCATGCTACTCACACCAACCGAGACGTACTCGCATGGAAGTTTCAGGAGTTAAGTCGGGTCTACGTCGTGGCGGACTTCAACCGAGCGTATGACGGGTTTAAGTTGAGATATCCTAAGGCGACCAAGTATTTAGAGGATACAACCGTGAAAGAAAAATGGGCAAGGTGTTGTTTTCCCGGAGAAAGATACAACTTAGACACAAGCAATTGTGTGGAATCTTTGAACAATGTGTTTAAAAACGCAAGGAAATACTCGTTAATACCAATGGTTGATGCGATCATCAAGAAAATCTCCGGGTGGTTTAATGAACATCGGATGGAAGCCGCGTCTGGATCCTTAGAAAATAAGATGGTGCCTTTGGTCGAGAATTATTTGCATGATTTGTGGGTTTTTGCCGAGAAGCTGAAAGTGGTGGAGCTAAACTCATTCGAGCGTGAATATGTAGTCACATGCGACAAAGGAATAGATTATACGGTGAGCTTGGTTTTGAAAACTTGCAGTTGCAAGGTTTTCGATATCCAAAAATATCCTTGTATTCATGCATTAGCCGCTTTCATTAACATTATGGATGATGAAGATCGGAGAAGAGGTTTGGAGTTACATGATTTGGTTACAAAATATTATTGGGTGGAGTTGTGGGCATTGGCCTATTATAGGACTATTTATCTTGTTCCGGATAGGTCGCAGTGGGAAGTACCAGATGAAGTAAAGGCGTTGAAGATAGTTCCGCTGTCTAAAAAACCGAAGAAAGGAAGGAAAAAAATGCTAAGGTTTCCATCCACCGGGGAAAAGCGGCCAAAACGACAAAGGACGCAAAACAAAAGGCGTCCAAGGCAATCGTGTCAATGGTTATTATTTGGGAATACGCCTATCTGAGTTTTTTACTTTGTTTCTGCAGTGATTTATTATGTAATACTGTATTTCCCCTTCTGTAATACTATGTCTGTTTCTATTGTTTTTTTGTAATACTGGTTATAACAAGTAATATCATGTCTGTTTCTGTCGAATTTGTGATCATATTAGTACTACTGATAATACTAAGTTGGTGTTATGGAGTTCGAATTTGTTTACCTCAAACCTCAATGATTAATAAAAATGTATTATTAATCATTTATACTTAATTAAGTTAGAAATTTTAATTTTAAAATTTGAGTTTTTAACTTATCTTTAGTAGACTCAATACAACATATCCCTTATACTTTTAAGCTCACTTTTAATATTATCACCAACTTAAAATGAAAAATTCATATTGCTACATATATTTAATTTATAATTGCACAAAATATTTTAACCTCTATATTGATAAAGTTCTATCCAGTGTACTACTAAATAAACAAATTGTAAATATAGGAAATACTGCTAAACATGAAAAACATGGAAAGTAATACTATTTGAGAAATTGGCACTACCAAAACCTTAGGAAATACTATGCTGTAAAAAGGCTGCGCACATGTCAAAAATAACGGCGCACACGTGGGGAATTAATTTTTTTGGTTTTCCCCCAAAATTTTTGGCGCCTAACAAATTTTGAGATTCCCTCCAAAACCAAAAATTTCACTTTTTTCTTTTTCCTCTTTCTTTTTCGATCTCTTCTTACAACTTTCTTTCATCTCTCATCTCTCTTCTCCCTCATCTCTCATCTCTCTTCTCCCACATCTCTCATCTCTCTCTTCGACTCGAATTCTCTCCCATCTCTCATCTTTCTTTCATCTTTCTACCATGGATAGACTGTGTGAGAGAGACCCCTACTACGATGATATGAAAGTGGCGAAGAGAGCCATTGACCAAATGGAAATGGTTGCGATGATGGAAGGGATTCCTAAGTTTTGTCCATGTGGTGGTAGCATTGTCGAGACGCGAAAGGATGAAAAGAGATACTATCAATGCGAGAAGTTTAAGGTATGTTGATGTAGAGCACAAGTTTTTCAAGTTTGTGTAGATCTAGATCTAGATATATTTGGTATTTCAGAGTATTTCCCGTTTTGGTAATACTGCCTAGAACAAGTAATACTCCACAAGTTTTTCTAGTTTTTGTAGCTCGAGATCTGTATTTGATAAATATTTGGTACTTTGTAGGATGATAGAATGCACATCCGTAAACTTTGGGATAAGGCTATGGAAGAAGAGGTGAGTAGCTTAAGGGAGAGTGTTGATTACAATCGGAAGAAAGTTCTAAATCATGAGTATCTCATAGAAGAAATGCAAAAAGAATTGAAAGCCCACCGTGCAGAGATTGTGAACGTGAGCAAAGTGGTATTCCGTAATCCTATGGATCCAAAGAAGTAATGTGTTATCCTATTGTTCCTTAATCTTATTGTTAATTTGCTTGGAAGACTTTCCCTATGCTTTGTAAGACTTCTCTTTGATTGGTAATACTATGGTTGTTCAGTTTGGTATTTCCCGTATTTCAGTTAACAATATCATAAAACATCCTAATAGATTAATTGAATCCAAACATAGTTTTACGAGTACTTGCGAAATCCTAAAACAAAGTCAAAGTACAAGAAATCAAAATACAAATCCGGAGAAGTTACACGAATAGATGCCGTTCTTCTTCTCAATAGATGCCGTTCGAAGAAAAAGCATCCACATCCCCATTAACTTGTGGGTATATCCGGAAGGCAGGTGGTAGATGTGCTTGAAACTCGGATGCTCCATAAAATAATTCTTTTCAACATCCGTTAGAGGATGTTCCAAGTCAGCGAAGGTCTTCAACACCTCCGAGATATAACACCTCGTTGCTAACTTCATCTTCTTGGTATACTCCGACGCCGGGAAGTACATACCAAGTGGCTGCATTGCCATCGCTTCCTCCATATCCTGAAAGAAACAAACATTCATTCATATATCACTCAATTGTAAATAGTACTGCCACATTATTACTCTGTATTTCCAAAAAGTATTCCCCGTAATTACCAGTATTACACAGATACTCCTATTCATATATCACTCAATTGTAAATAGTACTGCCACATTATTACTCTGTATTTCCTAAAAGTATTCCCCGTAATTACCAGTATTACACAGATACTCCTATTCATATATCACTCAATTGTAAATAGTACTGCCACAGTATTACTCTGTATTTCCTAAAAGTATTCCCCGTAATTACCAGTATTACACAGATACTCCTATTTTACTATATAGTATTGCTCAAAGTTACTAGTACTAACTACTGATAAATCACAATTGTAGTATTACTATAAGGTATTACCTAAATATCAACATAGCATTTCCCAATGTTACTAGTACTGTCCACATTTCACAATTGCATTATTACCCAATTAGATCGGTATTACGAAATGGAATACTTACCACATTTGCGATGTCCTCGGCTATGGTCCTCTCCTCCACGGGTTTTTCCACTTGGACTATCACGTCCTCCTCTCTCTCGTCCTAAATATCAACATAGCATTTCCCAATGTTACTAGTACTGTCCACATTTCACAATTGCATTATTACCCAATTAGATCGGTATTACGAAATGGAATACTTACCACATTTGCGATGTCCTCGTCTATGGTCCTCTCCTCCACGGTTTTTTCCACTTGGACTATCACGTCCTCGTCTCTCTCGTCCTCGTCTCCCTCATCCTCCACGGACTTTTCCACATTGACGTCCTCGTCGCTCGCGGAGCTCCTCTCCTCCTCCTCCTCGATAACGGCTAGGCCGTCATCTTGTCTCTCCGCCTCTTCCACGGGATTAGCACACGCGACTTCTTTGTTTGTCTCCGTCTCCTCTGAATCGGAATCGGAGCCCAAGGTTTGGCTACTACTCCCTGATTCTTCTTCTTCACTTCCTTCTTCTTTTTCATTTTCATCTTCCACCTCATCAGTTTGCATATTCTCTTGAGTTTCTTCAGCCGGAATTTGCTTCAGAGCATCATAAAACGTAGAATCATCAAGCATCGGGCTCTCCGTCGTTGGAGCCGTCGTTGGAGCCGTTGTCGTTGGAGCCGCTGTCGTTGCCATCGCCGTCGCAGTCGTTTGTGCCGTCGCAGTCGTCTTCGCCGGCGCCTCAACCTTCGCTTTCTTCGGCGGCGCCTGAACCTTCTCTTTCTTCGCCGGCGCCTGAACCTTCGCTTTCTTCGCCGGCACCTTCTCCTTCACTTTCTCAGCCGGCGCCTTAACTTTCTCTGTCTTCGCCGGCGCCGGCGCTTCTATCTCCTTTCTTTTCCCTTGACCTCCTCCACGCGTCTTAGGCGGCATGACTGATTTCGAATCGGAAATAGAACGGAAATACTGGTGAAAGCAAGAAGAACGATCGATTGAATTTAAAGAAATAGGGAAACGGTTACTAAGGAGAAGAAGTCAAAAAATCGAAAACGGTTACTAAGGAGAAGAAGTAAAAAAATCTGTCTTCGAATTGGGAAATCCCTGGAAATATTAGGGTTTCTTTTATTTGATTTTCAAATAAAGAGTAAAGGTGGTTCGAGTGGTTTGGTTCGGAAACGAACCATGGTTTTTCTGATAATTAATAGGTTCGGATGGGGATATACTAGTAATATCCATATATTTCGAATTAAAAAAAAAACAAAAATTATTTCTGTTTTTTACAAGGATTTTTTGGCTTTCTCTTTACAAAAAAGGGACTGGCCAGACGATTTTTCGAATGAAACAGGTAGAGAGATTTTAACAAAAAAAAAACAGGTAGAGAGATATAATTAGGTAGGACACGAGAGAAGAAGATACGTTATAGAGAAGAGGATAATCTCAAGTTTTAAATAATTCTTTTGTTTTGGTTTTTTCTTACCAAAAAGGTTATAATTTCTCACCTATTTTTATTTTTTAGGAAAGTAAAAGAAAAAGAAAAAACCATTACAGGTATTAGTAAAATAGGCTAATTGTTTTAAAAGTGAGAAAATGACATATTTTATGGTTTAGAGTTTTAAGCCTTTTAGTTGTTAGAGCTTAGAACTAATTTTTGGGTTAAAATTGAGGATTTTTGATTGGTAGTTTAGTTTTTATGATTTTGAATTAAATTTTATGGATTTGGGTTTTGGATTTCAGGTTTAAGTTTATGGTTTAAATTTTAGTGTTTAAGGGTTAGAATTTAGATTGAAAATCTATAGTTTAAAAGGTCATATTAATTTATATACCTAGAAGATTGAAAACTTAAGAATCTAGCCTCTAAAATTTAAGTTTAAAGGGTCATGTTTTTGTTAATTAGTTCTCTCTTTTCTTACTCAAAAATACCAAAAATACTTTTTCTGTACGCTAACAAATAAAATAGCGAGATAATGAGTTTAGATTTAGCAGCAAGGTTTAAATATTATTTATCCGACATCAAAAACACTATTTATCATCAGATACAATAATGAGACAATGACTTTTGTGATTATTTATTAGATTAGCACTGTAAATCATATTGTATCGCGATAATTTATAATCTATATGGTAAACTCATATTTATCGTGTTAAAATATTTATTATATGATTGATATCAGCTAACTTATATATTAACATATTTATATATTTTAATAATTTATTTCTTATCACTAATTTATATATTAGCATATTTATTTAGCATGATAATTTACTTATCACGTTTAAATTATAAGTTAGAACCGCCGATAATATCATCTTCCCCTCACTTACCACCGCTGAAAATATCATTCTCACCATCAATATCGATAAATATCATCATTTTTACCGGATATGACATTGAAAAATCACTGGAAATAATGTTGAAGGAAAATGCATTTGTTTATAATTTATTGATATCTATTTCATTATCTCGCAAAAAAATTTATTATACACTTAGGGGATATTTTGTCAAATTTGCAGCAGCTAAGAGAGAGAACTAATTAAAAAAAACTATAGTTAGATACTTAAGTTTTCAATGATCTGGGATCATTATTTCATATTACTCTAGTTTAAATGTAGGTTATTTTTAATGAATATACTAATTTAAGAGTTGAACCATTTTTTGTTCTTTCTACATTTCTTTGATTCTAAAAGCGAAAGTTTTTTTCTTTTATTTTGTTTAAAGCGACTTTAAAGAATACACACAAATGATTCTTGATTTCTTTGATGAATTTTAGTTTCAATTGATCTTCACGTGTCACAGATAATCTAAAGTTACTTTTTCAACCCCAAAACATTTATTTTACTTTAAAGAAATTAAAAGTAGAAAAAAAAAAATTCCTAATATAAGTAATATCCATTTTAGCCTTTTTTACTTTTCAATAAATAGATTTGCTATCTGGAATTTATCTATCTGGAAGAGAGTGCGATTGGAAACAGATTTCAACAGAGCAGAGGCTGCAAATGAGTTGGCGGTCCTAAGCCAACTCCGTAAGAAAGGAAAGCAAACAGAATCCACATGCTCTTTTTCAGTTACTCAAAGTCTTGACGGAGGCGCAGGGGCCAGATACTCCCATAGCCAATATGAGAGTCATCTCCTGGAACTGTCAGGGCCTTGGCGCGCCGGTGACGCAAACTCGGTTACTTCGTTTATGTCGTATAACTAAGTGTGATATTTTTTTTCTTATTGAAACTCTAAATAAGTGTGATGTTGTTTGTAATTTGGCTTGTGCTTTAGGTTTCTCTAATGTAATAACACAACCCCCACAAGGTAGAAGCGTTGGCTTAGCCTTGATGTGGAAGAATAATGTGCGTTTATCCAAAATCATTCAGGATTAACGCCTTATGGATGTACATATAACTTCTAATAATATTAGTTTCTATTTGTCTTGCGTGTATCGGTGTATGGATATCCAAATCAAAACAATCGTCACTTACTTTGGGATCGTATTGAACACATTAAGCAAACACGTAATGATGCATGGTTACTAATTAGCGATTTCAATTAAATCCTCTCTAATGAAGAGAAGATTGGCGGTCCACGGCGAGCTAAGTGGACCTTCCGGGATTTTAGACATATGTTCAGTTCATATGATCTAAGCGATTTAAGATCAAAAGGCGACCATTTTACTTGGGTTGGGGAACGGCACTCTCACACGGTCAAATGCTGCTTGGACCGAGCTATTGTAAACTCAGAATGGAAGGCTAGGTTTCCAAATGCTGAAGGAGAATTCTTGGAGTTTACGGGATCGGATCATATATAAACCGATTCTAGTACAAATGGATATGTCATAATTTTCAAGAAGGAAGCCATTCTTTTTTTATAAATGCTTCCTTGATGTCCAAGATTTTAAACAATATGTCAAGGAGGGATGAAAGCAAAACTCAAACAGAACTGATACTTCTATCACAGATCAAATACGAACAGGCCGCCAAGCGATGATCAGATTAAGACATATATCCAACCTGAATGCGGATACGAGAATCAAAGCTCTACAAGAAGCCTTAAATAGAGCAATGTTAAGTACTTCACTAACAGAGAGAAAACGGATCCCAAATATCCAAATATCCAATGTTAACCTCAATCTGTGACACACAAGGGACAACTTACAAAGGAGATGAGGACATCGGCAAACATGCTCAAGATTTCTTCACATACGTCTTCAAAAGCAACGGGCATCATGTATCTACAATTGACTTTAGTGACTTCCAACCTACGGTAACGGCGTCAATCAACATGGACATAACCAAGGAGTTTAGTGACACCGAAATTTATGATGCGATATGTCAAATTGGTGACGACAAAGCACCGGAACCAGATGGGCTAAAAGCTAGATTTTATCGGACATTGTTGGATCCGATGTCATTAAAGAGGTAAAAATGTTCTTTGAAACGGCTTGCAAGAACCCATCTATATATTAATCATACAAACATTTGTATAATTCCTAAGATTTCTAACTCGGAAACACTCTCGGACTATAGACCTATTGCATTATGCAATGTGCTCTATAAGATCATTTCCAAATTTCTAGTAACAAGACTAAAGAATCACCTCAACGAGATTGTCTCGGATACCCATGCTGCATTCATCCCAGTAGGGTGATTAACGATAATGTCATGATAGCTCATGAACTTATGCACTATCTTAAGGTCCACAAACGAGTCTCGCAAACAAACATGGCAGTAAAGACAGATGTGAGTAAGGCATACGATCGAGTTGAATGGAATTTCTTAGAAACTACAATGCGGCTGTTTGGTTTTTGTGGAAAATGGATAGACTGGATTATGGGATCAGTTCAATATTCAATCCTAATCAATAGAACTCCACACGGATTGGTCAAACCGCAACGTGGTATACGCCAAGGTGATCCTTTATTACCATACCTTTTTATACTCTGAGCCGATATTTTGAGCCACCTAATTAAATCAAGAGCTGCGGAGGGAGATGTCTAAGGTATAAAGATTGGCAACGGTTTTCCAGCAATTACACATCTTCAATTCGCAGACGATTCATTGTTCTTTTGTCAAGCAAATGTAAGGAATTGCCAAGCTTTGAAAGACGTTTTTGACATCTACGAATATTATTTTGGGCAAAAAATAAATATGTCGAAATCCATTATTACCTTTGGATCAAAGATCCTTGGTACTACTAAAAATCGACTAAAAACATATTGAAATCCCAAATTACGGAGGAGACGGAAAATATCTAGGTCTCCTAGAGAAATTTGGACGATGAAAAAGAGAGATGTTCGATTATATTATAGAACGGGTTAAACAACGTACTGCTAGCTGGAGCGCCAAATTCCTTTCTCTGGCCGACAAAAAAATTATGTTGAAGTCTGTTGCTTTAGCTATGCCTGCTTATGCAATGTCGTGTTTCAAACTGCCTCTCGGAATGGTAAGTGAAATTGAAACTCTTCTAATGAATTATTGGTGGGAAAACTGTTCAAAACAAAGGAGAATTCCATGGATAGCATGGAAAAGGCTTCCGAGAAAGAATGCGGTTTAGGCTTCCGATATTTAGCAAAATAGGCCTGGCATATGATTCAAAACCCTAACTCCCTCTTTGCCAAATTAATGAAGACACGATACTTCAAAGACGACTCCATCTTGAATGTAAAGACTTGCCGCTACCAATCATACAACTGGGCGTCAATGCTAACCGGGCGGCTAGCACTTCTAAAAAAGGATCTCGGTTCCAAGTTGGGAATGGCAACACTATTAGGATGGGAATAGATAACTTGGTGGACTCTCATCCACCCCGACCTCTACAGGTGGATTCAGCACACAAAGAGAATACTATATAAAGTCTTATCTCAAACAAGTGCTCCTATCGATTTTGGGATACAATTGATTTAGACGAAATTGTTAACTAGAACGACCACAAATTTATTCATTGTATTCATGTATCAAGGGCACCCATTCCAGATCAACTTATATGGAACTACACCACCTCTGGAAACTACATAGTCAAATCAGGTTACTGGTTGTTAACGCATGATCCCAGAGATAACCAAAACCTCCCTCCCATCATGCATGGATCTACAGAGATGAAAGAGTAAAATCTGGAAACTTCCTATTCTTCCTAAAATAAAACATTTTCTATGGCGTGTTCTATCCAAGGCTCTGGCTACTTGTACCCATCTAAATACAAAAGGTATGCACATCAATCCCCAATGTCCTAAATGCTGAAATGGAGATGAAACAATAAACCATGCTTTATTTACTTGTCCCTTTGCCATTATGACTTGGAGGCTCTCCAATAACCGAGTCTTTCAACGCCATATTCTATCCGATGAAGTCGAGGGAAACATGTCAAAACTATTTGATCATTATCATTCCCCAAATAAAACAAAAGAGCATAAACTTCTTCCTTTTCGGATCCTTCGGCGGATCTGAAAAGCACGAAACAATCTGGTCTTTAACCAATATAGAGAAACCCCTCGAAAGTAGCTCTGAAAGCACACGCCAAAACAAAGGAGTGGATCAGCAATGCAGTCACACACGCATCTCAACCTTCCGGATCACATTTATCACCAAGAGAACTAAATTGTTGGTCCAAACCAGAATCTCCCTACGTGAAATGCAATTTTGACGTAGGTTTCAATGTGATCTCTTCACATGGCCGAGGAGGGTGGATAATACGTGATCATCAAGGAAAGGCAAACGCATGGGGCTCAATAGATCTGAATGGCGCAACATCCCCATTGATAGCTGAAGCAAAGGCACTTCTAGCCGCAATGCAACAAACCTGTATACGAGGCTTCACTTCAGTAATTTTTGAAGGAGATAGTGAAGTACTAATCAAATCGATAAAGGGATCCATCACACAAAGTGAGATAACGAATCTGCTACAAGACATCTGCTTTTGGAAGGAAAAGTTTAGGCTTATACATTTTAAGTTTGTAAAGAGAGAATGTAATAATGACGCTCATCATCTTGCTAAATTAGCTTGTAATCAGCCCTTTTATTCGTCAGATTCAGTATCTCCGCCTATATGGTTAGATGAACTATGGTGTAATGATTCTTCAAATTAATCCAATAAGTTCTTGACGAAAAAAAAATCTATCTTTCTCTTTCTTTTTTTTTAAAAAAAGTCTTTTAACATTCAAATCAATATTTTCTTCTTGGATTGTCGAAGTTAACGAATGATAAATGATCTTTAGTCTCCTTGATCAATTTTAATCTAAATGATTTTTGCCATAAAAAACTAGTCGTATGGGTAACTACTAACTACTGGAAGATAAATCTACTCCAAATATAAAAGAAAAAAACATGTACGAAGTTGACTAAACATTGGTAGATTAATTTTTCAATGACTATGTAACGCTCAAGTCAGTAACTAAAGGATTTGGTCAAAAACAAAAAGAAATGAAAGCACGATAGAAAATGTGGATTTTGTGATGCAATGTACTCTTCTAATTTTAGTGAAATATAAAGAAGGCGGTGTTTTATGGAGAAAATGAGTAAGAGTGAAAGAGAGATAGAGGTAGACGCCAAGAAAATGCTCGAAGAGAAAGAGAGAGTTGATGTTAGGAAAGGAGAAGATTCATTTTTTTTTTTTTTTTTTGGCTCAACTTCAACTTTTCATTCACCAAAGAGATACATCCAAATTCAAGGTACATAACATTCACCTCAATCGAATTGGACCACTCAATGCAATGGGTTGATCTAGTATCACCCTGAAACACTAACGGATCCAACGCTACCCGATCGAGATCCCATTGCATTTTTTTAACCACGGTGAGATAAATAACACTCCACAACTCAGAGTGAAACTTATCTCTTGAACCACCTAAATTAACCCTATGATACGAAAACAACTATTAACACAGAAAACCAAATCATTACTAAAGATCAAAGCAACTCCAAGCTATTGGAACCTCTTGATTGGCGTGTAGGACTTTTCCAAATAGCATCAACACCAAAGGCGCAGCATCAGAAAGACTTGGTTCTCCGGCTTTCGTTGTTCCGATCCTAAGCCAAAAACGGACCGTACATCCGACTGACCCGTCCGAACGATGCAAAACAAAACCCGCGTGACCCGAAGCTTCTTCGAACAACCATTCAATGACCAGAATGCTAATTACCTAAAGATAAGAGTTCCGATCGCAGATTAGCATAGCTTCATCTCTCGATGCATTTCCAGATTGGCCATCAAAGTCACCGCCTTGTTGTCTCACTTCTCGGGCGGACTGAAACCAAGGAATTGAGGAGGCTCACATGAACGCCAGCTTTGAGGATGACCTCAATCTCGGCCACCGACATTCACCGGATTCACCCCCAAGACCCGGTAAAAACTCGAAAGCTCGACTCCACCGAGGCCTCCGGTCAGCTAGGTTCTCCGGCAAAGGATAGGAGAAGCAGGAGGACGCGGCTCACGAACCCAGATCAGACGCTCTGGATCTGCCGAGACAGCCGCCTGAAGGAGCTTCACACCACCACCAGTCTCCCGGAGAGGAGAACAAGCCGAGATCTTGCACCCTGTCTTCTGTCGCCGCACCTTAACGACACAGCAGAGGACGACTCCTAGCTCCACCGGACAGCAGAAGACGAGATCTTTCTCCCTACGACTACAAAGGAAAACAAACGAAAAGAAATAGCAGAGCCCTCTCACACCGCCGGCAACTCGCCCCGGGCGGCGGAGAGGCAGCAGAGCTCAGGCGAGGCGGCGGCTACTATTTTAGATCTAGGGTTTTCTCTTAAACAGTGTATTTTAAAGTAACAGATTTTGTTTTATTGTTACTACTGGAGAAGATTTATTTAGAATCAAATAATCAAATCCCTTTTCTCAATGAGAGAAAAATTGTTACAGAAAATACATATGCCAAACTATCTCGGATAGAGTGGAAGAATATCATTGGTAAAGACGTAAAGTTGGTTTCATCATTTTGATAGATAATATTTAAATTTAATGTTGGTTTTTGAATCTTTTTTTTTTTTTTTTTTGGTTTTTGAATCTTACATGTTATTTGAAGACATACTTTAAAGAAGTAACGAATATTCTAAGAAAAAGCAAGTAATTTATTCGTTTATATCAAAGGCATGAAAACAATATACTCCAAGAACAATATTGCTAGGTGTAGCCTTTTTCTTATGACTAATCTGTTTTCTTCAGTGACCAGAGAAGCTAATCTGTTCATAGTTTTTATCAATAGACTCTTTAACAGCATCAACTACTAGTTGTGTCTTTCGGCTAATGCTAGGCCAAAACCCATTAGGCTTCGCACCATTATTCTTGATTTCTCCTACCAATCGGGCAAATTCTCTTACCATACACGCCTCTTGTGGAAGTTCAGTCTTTACCGTGTGCTCACTCGGGGGATTAACCCATGCAGTCACAGAGTCATTGAACCAAGATTTAGTGCTAGTGGTGAACGATGCCTCGGACTCTTGAAATGGGATAACAAAGTCATGAACACGAAGTGTTCCTTTGGTTCCAATGGCGGTTATTTCCATTGTTAGGTTTGCCAAGAAGGAACCGTATATGGTTGCGGTTCGTCCATCTTCCCAGCTCAGAGATGCTCCACAAGAGAGAATCACTCCTAACTCGTTTAAAATAGCGTCGGGAAAGGCCGTGACAGTTTTGGAAAGACCAAAGTTGTTGGCAAAAAGGGTTGCTCGGATTGCGTACCATCCAACGTCTCCAAGCGCACCAAGCCCGTCAAGACCGGGTTTCACACGGATATCGTTTTTGAGGAAATCTTCATCTCCAGCGAATGTGAAGCAACTATTTATCTGCCTCCTCCAACATCGAGTAGAAATAAGACTTTCAAGAAATATCTCTTAACACTATTGTTAGAGGTTGATACATATGAGGCCCAGCATCCACCTGTTGTGTACCAATATAAGAGGAAACAGAAGGCCCAACAAGTTGATAAATGAAGAGAAGAGGATCCAATCACTCTAAGGAAGTTTTCAGAAGCTTGGTTAGAATTTACTTTACTATAGTTATTCAATAATCATGGTTAGTAGCTGTCATTATCCTATTGCATAGCACCATAACGGTGCACATGATTAGAGATAAGGGCTGAGAGTAGTATTTAAGCAAAGGGTGGGGATTGAGGGATGATTATCTAGAATCTGGATAAAAAAGATGTAAGGGGAGGGGAGAGACTCCAAGTAAATCTCTCAATCCTGTATTTCCTTTATCAATAATAAGAAGTATTCCTTTACATTGCTGTTTTTACTTGAGTTTGTGATCTAAATCGTATCAGAGGTCCAAAAAAAAAATACATTTTCTTAGAATGAGAATCAATCATAATTTCACATGACCAACTAAAATTATAAACAACTCACGTAAAGTATACATGGTGTGCTCTCTCTCTCCCTTCTCTCCCTTCTCTCCCTTCTCTCTAGCTTCACCGTTTGTAGTGCTCCGTTTTGCCTCTCCGGCTTGCCCTTCCGGCACCGGAGAGGGCTTCTGTTACCTGTAGTTGTAGTCCCTTCTCGCTCTGCTCTCGTCAGCGTGTCTGTCTTCGCCGGAGGTGCTGTCCTTCGTGTCAGATCTGGACTCATGGTGGTGGATCTGGAGCAAGTGGCGGCGCGTGGTGCGAAGAGAAGCTGTTGTGGCTGTTGGGGTCGCTCCGTCTACGGTTCTTAAGGACGGCGCCGTGTTCTGAAGTGTTCTCCGGCGGATCTGGGTCGGTTCTTCTTCGCAGGTCGCCTCTCTCCGGTGGTTGGTGGCTTTGGTGAGTTTGGGGACGTATGCTCTGCTTCGGTTTGGCTTGCGTGGTCGGGATCTAGTGTTTTTCGCCGGATCTGTTGTCCTTTTCCTCCTCCAGCGGATGCGGTGGCTTCTCCGGTTTGTAAGTGTTGGATTCGTTTGGCGAGTGTAGTTGGGATTGAGCTTATTTTCAGGTCTTGGCCTTTCATGGGTCTCAGCGGTGAGTTAGCTACAATTCCGGCGTCGGAGTTGCTGCACCTTCTTCCCTCAGATGCAGCGGTGGCTCCAATTGCGTGGGCGTGAGGACGATTTGGTTGAACCCGGTTAAAGGACGCCGGTGGTCTCGCCATGGTGTCTTCACGCAGCTCAACCACCAATTCGGTTCTTGCCGCTGCGGCGGAAGTCTATGGAAGACGGTGGGTTTCGCTTCTGAGTTGGTGGTTAACGGCGGGATCCTCCGGATCATGTTGGCTTGCGTGGGGCATTGGTTTTTGTTCGTTGGATGGAGCCTCTAACTTCTCAAATCAACACGCTTTGCTTCCACGGCTCAGACTAAAAGGAGACCCTAGCTCGGAGATTTCGGAAGACACCGGACATGGAAGATGGGGTTAGGTCTGAGTATGTCGGGATTGCTTGGCATGGGATACGACATCGTAGAGCCTCTAGTCGGAGTCTTGGGCATTCGGAAGTTCTGTAATGGGTAGTGTGGGTTGCCGGATAGGGGATGGGTGTGGAGTCCGAAAGCTTCCACTCTTGTTTCCGATTTCGGGAATCCACCGCAAAGTCGCCGGACTTGCTTTCGCCGGAATAGTGCCCTGAGACTCTGCTTTAGGTCTTTCAGCAGGACCAGATCTATTTTCTTGTTGGGCTTGTTTTTTTGGAATTTTCAATTTTGTAACTGAGTCCCCTTGTAAGGCCTTGGCTTTGCCCAGTTTTGGGAAGCCCATTTAATATATGAGATTTAAAAAAAAAAAAAAAAAAAAAAAAAGTATACATGGTCAATGTTTATTCAAAATATTGTAAACTTGGTCTTTTAAATTTATACATGTGTGGGAGGATCATGTGCACTGGCTTTTTTGATAACCCTAGCCTTAATATCACACAATGTTAAGTGTAGCATAATTGATCAATCAAAACACCAAATTGTGGAAATTGAATTAAGCCATTTCTAATTGACCAAGAGAATATAATGGGGTGGCCCCAAATTCAAGAATATACTTATGTAAGTTGAGTATTAAAAAAAAATAAAAAATTAGCATGCTCAAATCAACAATTCAACACGCGATTACTAATAGACTAATACAGTAGAACCTCTATAAATTAATACTCGATAAATTAATAAACACGATAAATTAATAAATTTGGCCGGTCCCGAGTCGGGCCAATGTAAAAATTAACCAAATTCGATAAGATAATAAGATAATAAGTTTTTTGAAATCCCTATGTAAAAATATAGTCCCAATAATATCATAAATTAATAATCATGTAAATTTTCATATATATATATATATATATATATATATATAATAGTTTTAGTGTTTTTCATAGAAATAGCCAAAAGTTTTTTTTTAATAGTCGTATAGGTTTTTAAAATACAACAATGGATGTCACTATTTGTGAATTTTAATTTATGTATATCGTTTGTGTATGTGAATTCTATAATCGTTGTTATTCATTATCAAAATAAATTATTTTCTCTTCAAAACATTAAGTGTTTAATGCTAAAACTATAAAATTTATAACATTTAAAACATTAATTTTATTTAGATCATATTGCTTTAGGTCATATTTTTTTAAATAGTTTTCACAATTGAAACAAGACTTTCTGTAAATTAATAAATATTAATTTACCGTATAAATTAATACTTATTAATTTATAGATAAATTAATATCACTATAAATTAATAAAATATCATGGTCCCAACATTATTAATTTATAGAGGTTTTACTGTAGTACAATAAGTGTTTACATCGATGTAGTATGAGCGATTCCATCGACGTTGTTAACCTTACAAAAAGACCAAAACCGAATTACAAAAACGTTAGCCATTTCGTCGACGCTACACCTAAACGGCACAAAGTTGGAGCTTCTCAATAAAAAATCCGGTCAGATCTACGAATCGGGTCACCGTTCTCGGGTTCCCGCTCTAATTCACCCTCTTTTTTCATTCACTCCACAAATTACAGTCCATGGACGACAGAGCCACCGAACCACCGCCGCGAGTCTAAAATCCTCAGAGCTCCTAAAAATGGAGAACGCCACAATTCTCACGATTGCGGAACTTGTCCACGAAGGCCGAGCCGTCACCGGTTCATCGTCGCTATTCTTCTCCGCTGCTACACCGACTCCTCACTCGTCTTCCGAATCACGTCCCGGTGCCGTCGATTCAGACTCTAGCCGTAAGTTTCTCGAGCCACTGAACCACCCAGCGGTTATCGTCGGGACGTTAGCTCTTCCTTCCGAAACCCTAAAATGTCCGAATCGCTATTGCTTTCGATTCTCAGACGGTGATTTGACAATCTGCTGTGATATACTTAGATTCGAAATTCGCGCGATTGGGAGTAAGATTTGTGTTCTATCTTGGAATTTCCTTCCTATGAAGCATTCCGGTGGATTTTTGGAGATTATTAAGTGGAAATTTGTGGATATTGATAATTCGGTTTCTCGGTGTTCGTTTCCATTGATTCCTTCGTTGTATTCACCGCAAAACGTTGACCGTAAGTCGCGATATAGCGTCTGTGGTGTGTTAGAGTCTATCAGCCCTGTGTCTGTTGTTCCTTGTCAGGATGGGGTTTCAAGTGATTCTGTAAATCTTCCTGGGTTCTTAGTACATGTTATGGCTTGTGAGTGTAAAGAGTATAGCCGGGATGCGATTGATTGCGGTCACGCTTTTGAGAAGTCTGTTTTTGTTTACTTTTGTGGTTCAATGGCTGCGAGTTGGCACCCTGCGATAACGAAGTTAGTTGGGAGTAATGTTGCTTTTTCCGGGTTGAAAAGGAAGTTGGTTTATGTAAGAGGTGATTCTCTGTTGGTGTTTGTGACGACTGAGAATTCTGTTCTTCATCCACCTTGGTTATCGAAGAAACAGACAGTTTTGAAAGCTGGTGTTGATAGGAGAGGTAACTGCGGTTCCTACCTTGGATTTGTCAGAGGTTTGTACATGAGAGGAAAGCTTGTTGAGATGGATGAAGATGTCTGGCTTTTATTGACGGATCAGATACACAACAGATCACACAGTATCCGAACTGGTTCTCTTGTAAGAATTCCTCTCTTACTTCAGCTTGGTGTGTATTAAGATTGTTTATTTTTTCTTACTTTGCTAGTTTGAGATCTTTGATTTTTCCGGACTAATTTTTAGTGCAGATTTTTATCAGAAATGTTCATTTTGTGAATACCAAGTTTTCTTGGGGAGAAGTGCTTATACTTGGGGCATGTTTCAAGACCAGCATCACAGTTGAGTTTTTTTCACCTTTTGAAACGAGGTAAGGTTTTGCTCTAAATTGGTGAATCATGGATGCTTTCTCTAATGTCTGAAGATTCATCCAGCTGGTGCTTTAGTTGTCTTGTAGATTCATGTCGGCAGACTTCTTTGAGTCGATTCATCGAGTCTTTGTCCTTTCCTGCAAGATTTTGGTACTCTTTCTCTCTGATTGATTTTAGCTATACTTTATTGATTTCATGCTATTTTGTGACTCGTGATTGATATAGCTGCAATACAATGCTTTGCAGGACATTACTTGTTAGATCGTGCTTCCAGAAATTTGACGGAATGCCATCAGACAAGGAAATCTTAAGATCCTGTCAGGTAACTGAAAGCAGGCTTGGTCCTTTGCTTTGATCCTGGAGTTTCCGGTTTTCTCCGACATTAAGTTCTATGGTCTTCTTCATTTTTGCGAGGTGTTATCAGAAGGATGAACTGACAAAGATTTATGCAGAGTCACGAATACCACCATCCATGTTTCAACCTAGGGTAAATTGGTAAAATTCAAAGTTCAGTAATATATGCAGCTTTATACTCTTCTTAGGCTATTATCAATGCTCATCAATTTTAGTCTTTTTTTAAACCTTTCGCAGGGCGGGATCTTTACTGAATTCTGCATGCATGAGTCATGCGAATGCAATTGTGAAGCTCGTGATTGCAACCTAAAACTGGTAAGTCTATTATTTTTGGTTAGATTAGAACGAGTTTAATCTCTTTTTAAATGACATGACTTTTCTTAGATCTTATAATATTAGCTCCGCCCTTTTTTTCTGCAAACAGGTAATGCCTATCTCAAGTTTTGTCCACCACATCAAGGTCATGCTGAATGAATTGCTTTCTCAGATTAAAAAAGACTTTAGTGCTAGTGATTGCTTAAGTGATTCACCGTCAACATGGAAAAGATACAATCATACAAACACGAAGACTTTTAGAAGTGAGGTTACTAGTGTCATCTTGCTTGGAAGATTGAAGGTATATTAAAATTTTAAATATTGCCACTCCATATCTGTGTTATGCCTCCATATCGCTTCAAGATATGTGAAGTCTTACATTAGTACAATGTGCCATCAAATAACTCATTAAAAAAGTTTTTCTTAAATTGTTGAGATGTCAGTGTCATCATGTCATCTTAATATCTGGAACATATCTTTAGCTTTGCTACATTACAACGTTTTTGTTTTTCTCGAGTTTATACCGTTATGTAGCTGTGACATTATTCTTCTATATAGATCTCATCTTCTGGAAGACTACAATTGCATGACAGAACTAGCAGTATTGATGTTCTGACTCCAGACTTTCTAAGTGATATAAATGCGATCAGGATATGTGAGGTTAATCTTTTACTTCAAACTACATTTTCTTCGTTTATCCGGCATGTTGGAGGATACCAAACTCGTCCTATTGACTCTTCAGTTCATCCTCTTTTGTTTGTTGTAGGTTTCTGATTACTTTATTATTATGGAAGGAATACCTGAATCGATGCTCCACATGCCGTTTCTTCAAAATCCCCTTCGCTGTAGAAGTGTGGTTAATCCCACTCCATTGGCCATAGAAAACACCTTGACAGTGCGTTTTTCTTTATCGCTTGGTACTGCAAGTTGCAAACATGTTCTCGAGCACCATCCTCTTGACTGGAGGCATGATCTCAATGAGTTCAATGAGGGGATGTTTCATCTATTTAGGGTGACCCACAAATTTCCAATATTAAAAAATGTATAGTTTCATCTTTCAAATAGCAATCTCCAAGTCTCACTATTGTTTATTTATTTTGCTTAAAGAAATAATGTTGTTGTTTATGCTACAAGGTCTTTAACTGTTGTGGTTATTGATCTTGTACCAGGGTCACCCAGGAATGCCTGACTGTACTAGTGCATTCATCGAGGCTTTAGTCCTTCCGTGGGAACTGATTTGCACTGTGACTGAAGAAGACGCAGCAGCTGCTCCCTATTTTGAAGAACATGATACTTCCCAAGAAATACGTCCACATAAGAGATGTAAAACTAATAATGAATTAGAAAGGCAAAGAGCATTATCTGTGCCGCATGAAATTTCTTGCCAGATGACCATCAGATGTGCTAATAGTCACTGTTTGGTTACAGCAGCAACTCTTCTAAATTTGAGGGAGAACAAAAGTGGTAACATGCACAGTACGAAGCGTGTGCTCTTAGAATTCATACCTGAGTGCAGTAACTATTATGTAAGTATTTATTTCTTATCAACATTGTTCCCAGGATACATCTATGCTGCACAAGACTAATAATATAAACAAAAATGATGCTTTTGCATTTTAATGGCAGGCTTTACAGATTGGCGGTTGCTATTTGATGAAGCATGGCACTGATGATTCTTTTTGTGTTGGACGGTCTGGCATATCTAACAATGACAAAATCAGTTTTAGACCTGAAACACGTTTATGGAGTGTGGAATTTTCTTTTGATGAAGTTCTCACCCATGATGGATCTGTGGATGTATATCCTCTTGTGTCTTCTCAACCATCTCTTGCGGTGGAACAACAAAATGATTCTAGTTCACAACCTTGTTCAGATGTTTCACTTCTTCTCCCTTATGATGCAAAAGGACTCTTTTCAGTATTTCTCAAAGACTTGGAAGAACTTAATAAGCCATTGGCAGCTGGGAAGGACAATAATAATATTGCATGCTGTACTCAGTCGGAGAAGATAGTGCATGCAGAGCCGTCTCGAGTACCTCCTTCCAACAGCTTGTTTCCTGAAGGAAATCTAGCGACTTTCAGAGGCGACATAGTAGCAGTTGACGCTGTTACCTCTTCTGTCGTTGATGTTTCAAGCAGCTATTGCATTAATGTTCTAGTCAATCATCAAATTGTGAGTGCTTATTATACTCTACTCTCCCTCCTGTCTGTATTCTTGTACCTCTGATCTCCTCAACAATGTGTTTCAGGTGAAGATATTTGGTCCACTTAGAAGGCATTCATATCTCACTGGATTCGGCCCTGGGGCGAGTGCAACATTCTACCGGATTCTTGGAACAGGGTATAATATCTAAATAACAACCATTGCTTAATTAGCTTTTCATCAAGTGAGAAACTCATCTTCAGTCCCTTGCTTTCTTGTTTCCGTAGAGAGGAAAACAGGTTTGTGTTGACATCAGCATCGTTTGTCAAGATAAACTCACGAAAGACATTGGATGGTCCGCAGTTAGAGAAACTGACTCACCGAGCTGCTTTGTGTCTGCCCAAAATTACACATCAGGAATACGTACCTTGCATTCTTGCTGGTCCTGCTTGTAATTCATTCTCAGAAAACAAGGATAATCAGCAAATAAAGTTTGCCTGCAAGGTAATATTTCTATGAATTAGCAAAGTTGTTTTAATTATTCCATTTATGTTTACTGATTTGTTGATGCAACAGGTTCTTTCAGTTTATCTTCTGGTTCTCCAAACGAGATCTGATGATCCGTCAGAAAACGAATGTAGGAACAATATTGATATACCACTTGCAGGATTTGTGGTTGGTAAGTCACCTCTTCTATTCTAGGGCACTCTAACAGGGAGTAGAATAAGGTGCAACTTAGAGCATGTCGCCTGAAAGAGAAGTTTGGGTCGAATTTGCAGAGATATTCACGTTTTAGTTTATCTTCTACAGTTGGAAAAAGGTCTTATCATACTAATCTATCCAACTAGTAAGATTGATCGTGATTAACTGCTTCTATTTCGTGGAAGTTAGAATTACTGTCCTATTCAGTCTTCATTATGTATAACATACAAGCATTCGATATCTGACTAACATCCTCTTAAGAGCATCATATTAAGCATTGTGTATGTGTGTAATGCCGCAAGGCAGAAAAAAAACATATAAAGATGTGTGTATGAGTATATGTTTATGTTTGCATAATATTTGGTGTTACTGAACGGAGTAGTCTTTCTTCAGTTTCCAGTAGCAGATAGAAAACTTACTTGTCCATTGATAAATTGGTTAATGATATATGACATATTCTTTCTCTTTTCATGAGTTTCACTTTTCCTGGTTTAGATGATGGATCATCAATTTATCTTTGCTGGACGAGTGGGGAAAGAGCGTTTACAATTCTTAGGCTGCACGAAGAGTTGCCTGAAGAAGCCATTGATGTGGCACAGTGGATTAGAAGAGACAGCAGCCGGGGCACCGCAGCTTACCATCTTGAACAAATTGTTCGGGTTCACAAGAGAATAGTTATGAAGTGCAATGGATCACAGATTGACGCACTCTTTCAAGACATCACCATTGCTGTTACTTCAGATCAACTTCTCACCAAGTCAGAGGATAAGTTCCTCAAGTGGTTGATCCTAAATGCCATTAGCGGCCCCATATGGGTATGTTCAACCTCATTTTAATCCTCCTTGATTTTATTGGATTTTCATTTGTCCTGAACATTAAACGGTCCTAGCTGGAGAATTAGTTGACAGAACTTAGTTCTCAGATTGTTTTTTTTCTGTGTGGGAGTAGATAAGAAAGTGAGACGTTGCTAGTTCCTAGAATTGGTATCGAGGCTTTTAATTCTGAAAATAGACAGATTTTTATTAATAGACCTGCAATTTATTAAGTTTAGCAAGCTATTTAGCTGTGTGGACAGAGCTGGAATCAGATAGACTTAATCATATTAACGAGTTGATAAGACTAGTACGGCAGTTGTCTCACTCATCAAAATAAGGTGGCATGCTTAGTTAATAGTATTGACACACACTATACTCTGGGTTCCACTTGTGATTTTAAAACCGATCTTCCTTGCCTTTATTATTTTTGGTTTAAGCAGGAAGTTGCCACGAGCTCAATGGACATGAAAATGATTGAGCATTTGGAGAGGGAACAGTGTGTGGAAATAGAGACATCAAGACATAATCTGCAGAGCGTTTGGGGTAATGAAGTATGCCAAGTGGATCCGTTGGTTCGAGCTTGGAGCTTACTCCAAGGTTTGCTAAATAGCTGATCATGAATTATAACATCCTTATGCTCACAAGTGATTCCACCCATCAGTTATGTGACTTGTGTACAAAATTCATCCACCAATCGGCGATTCTTGGCATCCTGAGTCCTCACATCAGTAGGAGACAAAGAACCATTCAAATCAATTTTGTGAAATGACAAATTGTCGACCCTAAGAAGGGATGCACGAAGGTAAAGGTATGGAAGCGAGTACTTAAACTGGCTTATATAATCATCAGTGTAGATAACTACAAAATCATTCACAATTTTGAGCTTTTATGCGTTTTAGCCTACTAGTTCTAGAGATCACGTCTTCTTATTATTTTCATACGTACCACCCGGTTCAAAAATTCATATGTACGGAGAACGGTTCAAAAGTATATTAACAAAAAGAAAACTATAGGTCAGTTGATTCAAATTTATTTAATGCATTTAATATTTATAGAGATTATTTAGTATTATAAATATATAAAAAAACTCATACAATGTTTAACAAAATATAAAGTCTAACAATAATAATAAAGTGATTAAAATGTTTAAATCCAATCAAAACCGTTTGAGAAGAACCGAAGAAGTGAAAAGTTCTAAAAATAATTGAATAACTAGATCCGGACCCGCACGTACGTGCGGGTAGTTATTTTGAATCGATAGGATTTACATAAAGTTTTAATTTAAATGTATTGTTTTATGTAATTAATAGTAAAAATATCAATCTAGAATAAACAATATTACACACATTTATTTTTATTTTGATTAATTATATATTCTGCAGAAAAGTGTATTTAGTAAAAGATGCAACATTTATCATAATAGAAAGGTGTTATACAGTATAATAAATAGTTTAATTATACACTTAGCATAAGATGTTTAATACTAAAGTAAAAACTTAATTCCATGGGCCATTGAAACACAAATATTTTGTTATGGGTCATACAAATACAAAATCATATTGGGCCGTAGGAGATTTACATACATATTAAGGATGGGCCTTCTACATATTTGACCCATTACGTAAACTTTGTTTTTATTATCTGAAGAGATAATTCTTAATCAAACAATCGATGTCCGATAGATCTAGACAAACAATTCTTAATCAAACTTTATATTTTATTCTAAAAGACCAAAACCAAACCTTATATGTTCAATCCAAGCCCGGCCGGATCAACCGGTTCACTGGGTTACGAGTTAGTGGCTAGTTTTTGTGGGTTTTCCGGTTTTAAAATTGTCGGATATTAGCACTAAACTCAAACTAGAGAAGTGTCTGGGTCGCGGGTTAGTCAGTCGGACTGGACAGGAGTCGGGCATGAAAACACTATATTTTTTACCAAATCAAGTAATTTTTTTACTTTATACTCGACCAGTTCAACGGATCGCGGATTTTGTGAGTTTTCCGGCTTTAAAATTTCCGAGTATTAGCATTAAACCCAACCAAAAAAATGTCTGAGTCACGGATTAAATATAACATCTATTTTAATTTTTTATACTATAATATTACTTACTTCTCAAAACAAAATTTACAAAGTTAATTTATAAAAAGTAATTCTATCCGTGCTATAATACCTAGGGATGTCAAATGGGCTTCGTGACCATGGGCAAGACCAGTCCAAATTATAATGGTCCGGATTTGGTCACGCCCAAATTCGCCCAAATTCGAAGCGGTCCATATGGGCTAAAAGCCCATTTAGTCCACAAACAAATGGGCCGAACCCATCTGGACATGGGCCGTCCAATAAGCCTTAAAAATTAGGGTTACTAATTTAGAGAAAAGAAATTTTCTTTATTTTTAAAAAATTTCGGATTTACATTGACATTTTCACTCCAAAAAATATTTTTACAGTTTTGGCGGAAAAAATGTGATTTTACGATGTGGCGGAAAAATGCAATTCTTCGATTTTGAGAGAAAATATGTTTTTGTGGTTTTGGCGGGAAATAGAAAATTATATTATTTGGGCCCCATGGGCTGTCCAGTTGGTCATGGTCTTATTTGGTCTCGTCTTATTTGGACATGGTCCTATTTGGGTTTAGACCGTCAGTGTCCAAAAAAACGGAGCTGCCCATTTGGACAGGCCCATTTGGACTTGGACAGCCCAATTGACATCCCTAATAATACCGATTATGATCTAGTCAACGTACATTTTTATACTGATTATTTAAATGGTTTCGTTTACTAGCCTTTATGAACTAGTTGTAGTAATAATTATAATTTTATTGTTAAAGAAAGACCACCAAAAGTCTAATATGTTAAATTTTGGGTTGGCTGATTTTATAGCCATAAACTAGTTGCATTCTCAGCTTTTTCCCCTAACCTTTTCGCTCCAGCTAATTCCACCATTAACTTAGATAATTCTCGCAATTTCAACATGTAATTTCGGATTCATCCTTAAAACTACGCCTCCAATTGAACCGGCCAATAAACCGGTACCACATAACTCGGTTTGATTTAATTCAAATTTAACCAAATTTAAACCCGATTTTGACCCAATCTTCTTCTTCTTCACCCGATTTTGACCAGAATTTTTTTTTTTTAACGACGGTAGACCCGACTTTCAACGACGACGTTTTGGGTCTCATCGACGGCAGATCCGAAGACTACGATCCCTGCAACTGGGTCGGTTGCACATGCGACCCTGCCTCCAACCGGGTCTCGGAGCTCCGACTTGACGCCTTCTCTCTCTCCGGTCACATCGGCCGTGGCCTTCTCCGTCTCCAGTTCCTCCACACCTTGGTCCTCTCCAACAACAACCTCACCGGAACCCTAAACCCCGAGTTCCCTCACCTCGGCAGCCTCCAAGTCGTCGATTTCAGCGGCAATAGTCTCTCGGGTCGGATCCCAGACGGGTTCTTCGAGCAATGCGGGTCCTTGAGGTCCGTCTCCTTGGCCAACAACAAACTCACAGGTCCTCTTCCTGTCTCCCTCAGCTACTGTCGGAGAAGATGAACTAGGACTACGAGGAAGCGGAGGAGCTAGCGGAGGAGGAGGGTGGTGACGGTGATGAGGTTGATACTCAATTGCGGCGGTTGTGGATGAAGATGGAAGAAGAGACGGTGGTGGAACAGAGGAGGAATCGTCAGGTTCACGGCGGTGGAAGTTACGGTGACAACCACAAGCTGCACACTTGTGAAGTTGGATCGGAAGGTGTTGAAGAAGGAGACGACATGAATTCTCCGCAACCGTCAAGCGCGTGACCACCAATCGCCGCCGAAGAAGAATAAGATTCAGTTGGGTTGGCTGATTTTATAAAATTTTGGTCAAAATCGGGTTTAAAGTTGGTTAAATTTGAATTAAATCAAACCGGGTTATGTGGTACCGGTTTAATGACCGGTTCAATTGGAGGCGTAGTTTTAAGGATGAATCCGAAAGTACATGTTGAAATTGCGAGAATTATCTAAGTTAATGGTGGAATTAGCTGGAGCGAAAAGGTTGGGGGGAAAATCTGAGAATGCAACTAGTTTATGGCTATAAAATCAGCCAACCCTTAAATTTTATCAAGAGCATCTTTGAGATTAACGAAGAAGAGTCGAAGACTTTTGAGAAAGAGAGAGAAACTTGAAATTCCAGATCCTTCTTCTTCTTCTTCTTCTTCACCAATCTGGTAGTATACGACAATGGAATCTGAGGGAGTATCACTACCGTTGATCCACGATCATCTTATGATGCCTTGGAATGATATGAGGAAAGGCGATTGTTGTGGACGTTTGGATGCTACCAGTGATGGTTACTATTGCAAAACCTGTGATTTTTTCGTCCACAAGAAATGTGGCGACGAGTGCTCCAAATTTATCGAACACCCAGGTCACTCCATTCACACCCTCAGGCTATTACGTGGAAACAGGATAAAACCAAGTTATTGCAATTTATGTGGAAAGGGGATAATAAACGTGAATCTTTCTTATCGCTGTCAGATCTGTAACTTCGATGTGGATCTACATTGTGCCAAGTACCCACCACCAGAGGTCATTGAAGTTTCCGAGACGCATCACCACAAGCTCACCCTTTTCAAGGAACAAATCGAGTTTGTTTGTGATGCTAAATGTGGGATGATTGGTAATGGGTTTCCGTACAAATGTCATGAATGTGGTATATCCTTCCATATGGATTGCGTATGGAATCCGTCGGAGGTAAAACATCCCTTAGAGATAAACCACTCTTTCCATTCCTCGCACCCTCTTAAGCTCCTGACGGGTCAACCACCGGACTATTGTGATGGAAAATGTCGTCTTTGCGGAAGAAAGATTGATGAGATGTTTTATCATTGTTCTTCGTGTAATTTCACCTTGGATATGCATTGTGTTTTAAACCCACCACCGCAATCATTTCTGGATTTGAAAGCTCATGATCACCAACTCGCTCTTCTCCCAAGACTCATTTCGTTTACATGTAATGCTTGCGGGTTGAGTGGAGATCGCAGCCCTTACATATGTGTTCAATGTGGTTTCATGATCCACCAAGACTGTCTTGACCTTCCACGCATCATAAGCATTAATCGCCATGATCACAGACTTACTCGCACTTCTGTTATTGGTGTTGTGAATTCTGTATGTGGAGTTTGTCGCCAAAAGATGGATTGGAGTTGTGGGGGTTATTCTTGTCAAATGTGTCCGAGCTATTTCGTTCATTCTAAATGTGCTACTAGAATAGATGTGTGGGACGGGAAAGAACTTGAAGGAATACCTGAAGAAATAGAAGATATCGAGCCATATGTGGTAATAGATGACACAATACAACATTTCAGCCACAAAGAGCATTACCTAAGACTCCATGTTAATGGTCATCTTTGTGAAGAAACGAAGCGGTGCAATGCTTGCACCCATCCCATTTGTCTCCAATCCTTCTATGGATGTGTTGATTGTGATTTTATTCTCCACCAATCGTGTGCCGATGTTCCTAGAAAGATATGGCACATGCTGGACAATGAACAGCTGACTTTAGTTACAAGGGAGGACAATATTTTTGAGTGTTATGCTTGTCATAGAATGTCCAATGGTTTCAGGTACCAGAATAAGGATAAGGTACTAGATGTCCTATGCGGAACAATTCCTGAGCATTTTTACCATCCAAGTCATCCCTATCATCCCTTATCTTACATTCCACAAGATGGAAGAAGACAATGCAATGGTTGCAACGAGTTGGCATCTCTTGTGCTCACGTGCACTGAAAGTGACTGTGAATTTGTCTTGGATTTCAAATGTGCCACTTTACCACTTGTGGTAAAGCACAACCTTGATGACGATCATCCTTTCTCGCTATGTTATGGCAGAAAGGCGTGTGGTAAAAACTGGTGTGAGATTTGTGGGAAAAAATGCAATATAGAGAGATGGTACTACACATGTAAAGATCAGGAGGATAGTTTGCATCCAAGTTGTGTGGTCGGAGACTTTGCAGGGCTCATGCCAACAAGCATAGTAGAGGTTTTAAGCAGATCATTTGCGGTGGTGCTCAATAATAGTGTATACCGTCCATTTTGCGGATGGTGTAAGACGCATTGCTTGTACCCTATCATGTTGAAGATGCTTGGAACCTCGGATACATACATTTGCTCTAGTGATTGCCTTTTTAACGTGCTAGATCCTATCAACGGAGTGGATAAAGAACTTTGAAGCCAAACAGTGCAATAAAGCACGTGAAGCCAAAGAAGATAGTCTTAATAAAATTTCAGAACTTCATAAGAGGTCTCTTGGTGTGATTTGTATCTGTATTTTTCTCTGGATTTGTAAAAGTATGATCGATGTTTTGCTTGTTTGTATTTTTTTTCTTGCTTGTTTGTATTTCTTGTGAACTCTCGTGTTATTCAAGGTGTGTTTCGATCCAAAGTTTTTAATTTTTTATTTTTATCATGACTTGATTTCCCTGTAATGTAGCTATTTCTAAAGTTTTAAGTCTCTCATTGTCTTCAAAATCTCGCTTTAAAATTGATGAACACAACACTATTTTTTTTTTCACTAGAATTTGATTTTCATTGATAGAAAATTTGACTGAATACACTTAGCCTGCGAGAGTAGCAAATTTTCCAGAGACATAGATGGCGAGTGTTCTTGTGCTATGACTTTATATCAAGAACCTGAATAGTCCAAGTGTTTTCATGTGTATAGAGAAATTAATCGCCTAGCGTAAGGATTAGCGTACTCTATATTTTCTTACCCTTAGGTTTCTATCTTTTTTAGTTCTCCACCGGATGTTGTAATCCGATTTTGTTGGAATATGCCAATGGAGCCACAAGACCATACACTGTTCGTTTGTAATTTCTTTCTTGTTTTTGAATAAATTGTCTCCTGACTCCGACCAAAAAAAAAAAAAAACTAAAATCAGATCTCTGATAAAAAAAAAACCGATAAGGGATCTGTCTAATTGGCGCTCCTTTACTAATTCCCCTTTTTTTCCATCTTCGGATTCTTTTCAAATCAATAAAAAGTACAAATCGGAGATCCCTACAAAATCCTCTCACCACTGTTCACAATTCCTTCTCCGAGATCTACAGATTCTCTAACGCTGTTTCATTCTTCCGATAACAATGGCGACGAGAAGACGTACTTTGCTCAAGGTCATTGTCCTCGGTGACAGTGGGTAATCAATCTATTCCGATCTCTAATTCTTTCAATCTTTTACGCATATTCTTCTATTTTCCTGATGTTCGATTTTCGATTTTCTAGGGTTGGAAAAACCTCCTTGATGAATCAGTATCCTTTCAATTGATTCGATTTGAGAGAAATTGTGTTTTGATTCTGTGATTATGTGAATCCTTAATGGTTGAATTTTAGATATGTGCATAAGAAGTTTAGTATGCAGTATAAAGCAACGATTGGTGCTGATTTTGTAACCAAGGAGCTTCAGATTGGGGAAAAGCTTGTTACTTTACAGGTTTTTGGCTTTTTTTTTTTTTTTTCAAGATTTTTTCAGTATTTTACTTTTTTTTTTTTTTGTGGTTTGTTAGATTTGGGATACTGCTGGACAAGAAAGATTTCAGAGTCTTGGTGCTGCTTTTTATAGAGGAGCTGATTGTTGTGCTTTGGTTTATGATGTTAATGTGTTGAGGTCTTTTGACAATCTCGAAACTTGGCACGAAGAGTTTCTTAAACAGGTTCGTAGGTCGTTTCGTTTCTTTCTGGCACACTTTGCTTTGGTGTGCTTCATTGTGTTATATGGTTTGCTTTTGTGTGTTATGTTATAGACATGGAACATAGGAATCATTAGAGTCAAACTCTTATTTTGAAGATGTGGTTGGAAGAGTTCTTGATTATCTTCGTATCTCTTTTGGTTCTCGGGACCATATATGAAGTATTGTTTGATTGATCACTAGAACATGTTTTTTTTGTTTGAATAATCATTTGCTGTTCTTTACCTAGTCCTCGGTTTACTAGTTAAGCCAAGTATATTACTAACTTGATTTTGTGTTCATTAACAGTATTAGATTTAATTAATCTATATAACCTGTTCCTTATTCTGTTTTTTTTTCCTGCATTCACATTTTCAATCCTTTTTAACAATTTATAATTAACTTGTATTGGTTGCCTGTATCCATGGCATCGTTTTGGGCTGTACAGGCAAGTCCATCCGATCCAAAGACATTTCCGTTTATAGTGCTTGGAAACAAGGTTGACGTAGATGGAGGGAGCAGTAGAGTGGTAAGAGGAAGATCAAGATATGTTGTCTTCCATCGTGCTTGAAGTCTTTGACTCAGTCTAGTTTTATTCCTCTTTCATTACAGGTCTCTGAGAAGAAAGCAGCTGACTGGTGTGCTTCAAATGGTAACATACCCTATTTTGAGACCTCAGCAAAAGAAGACTTCAATGTTGATGAGGCTTTCTTAACCATTGCCAAAACCGCCCTTGCGAACGAACATGAACAGGATATGTAAGTTTTATTTTTGGTTTAGCTCTAATATATGAGAGCTTGGAAACCATGAAATCTTGACTGAAATATAGAACATAGAGATTATGGGTACCAGCCTACCAGGTTCTACATTTGTTGGAATTATCTAATTGTTAAACCGGAAAGTCTGAATAGCGTAGAATATGACTTTTAAATGTAGAAGGCAGATAGTGTAGAAACCCGGGAATTTCTTACTGCGTCCAAAGCTTGGTGATTATTGATAAAAACAGAGACATCGATAATATGCATATCTGACATTTGTGATTGGTCTACTTCTGAATTCCAGAGTCTGTGACTCTGTGATCCAAATTGAAAACTAAGAATGCATAAAAAGTAAGCTGAGTGCTTAATAAAATATGTCCTTCATACACAATGCTTTTGGGTTTATTGCAGATACTTCCAAGGCATACCCGATGGAGTGACTGAGAACGAGCCAAAAGGCGGTGGTTGCGCTTGCTGAACCGCAGATTTGAGGATTCTTTTACATTCGTTTTTTTTAATGCATTCATCGAAGGTTGGTGTACTCTTTGAGTTGCAGAACGATAATCTTGTAGAAGCAATTTTTTGCCATTCCATCATGTATTAATTGATTGGAGAAGTCTCTGTATGATCAATCGATTCTGCTGGATAAAAATTTTATTTTTGGAAGAACCTTTATTGCTCTTATGTTATATTATGTCAGTTTGGGTTCACTCATCTGTGAGATGTTATACTGCATCTATATTTTAGATCATATGTTAATTTTGCATGCATAAATTATTTATTTTGGAGATATTGTTAAGTTTTGGAGCTCATGTGATATTGTAAAAAATTTGTGAATATTTCGTCGAATAGCGATTAGGTGACAAAACCTAAAAGCATTTGAATGTCCGGAGATCCAAGATCGTTAAGGTTATCGCAAGACCGTCTATTTTTCCTTTGTTCTCAGGCCGTATTATTACTCGGATGTGACCCGATTCGACGGATCGTATGATATTGAGGACTCTCTTGTTCACTGTAGATCACATTTTAGATCCTGAAAACTGTAACACATGAAATGATCCTGAAGGTCAGCTTTGGGTTATACTCTTCACTACCAAATGTTTTGTGATTTTTTATTTATTTTACAACTTTGACGTTGAAGCTTATTGATTCGTTTGGAGAAAATATATACACACTAAACTTCTTTTTTTGTTGGGGATAACAGTGGAGTTTTAACTTTAAACGGAAAATGAAATTCAATGTGACTTCTAAAAAGAAGTTAGGTAACGTAAGAGATATTATCGTTCATGCAAATTAACATTTCAGTTACTAGTTCCAAACAATCTTTAACCGTTAAAAAATATTCTTAGTTTTCGAAATTACATAAGAAACGTTTGAGCTATATTATTGTTGTTTCCTATGATGAAGTCAACAAACACTTTATAACCTGTATTTATGGTATTTATATCAATACAGTTAATAAATAAGTAGACATCAATACAATAAAAACCCTTGAAACTCTCCAGAGTTTGACACCTCAGCTTTTTTAAGCTTTGTGGAGTTGACACCTCATTTAAAATGAATAACCAATGAAAACATTCTAAATAATACAACTCATTTTTAATATCCAATAAGAACCTTTCTTTTTTCCACATCATCATCTCTCATAAAAATATCAAAATGGCCCTAAAATCGTGGGCTTAGCCCAGTCCGGTCCAGGTATGAACACAATATATTAAATCCGTTAAAAAGTAGATTTTGCGGGCAATCCCACTCGGATTACGGGGTTTAGCAGGTTATGCCGGAGATTGGCGGATTGCCCCGTGGACTGCATATATATAATAAAAATAAATATATCATATATATAATTAAATAGTTTATATATTTTTGTAAAGATAATATGTAAAATATGTGATAATATAAAAATTTTATTATAAAAAGGATAATATTAAAAAAAAATTGATGGTGTTTATACATTAGCTTTTTAGGCTATTCTCAGAGTAACACATCATTAGAATTGATATCTAATCAAAATATAAGTACGAAACAAAACTGAACATGGTAATTAATTCAGTGTCTCTAGCTAATACGATTTTTGAAAATTCTAATTATGAATTCTTTAAAGTTGCAAAAGATATAAAATAATTAATAAGATTTAAATTATATAAATTAATTTATATTCTTTAAAGGTTTTTAAAGGTTTTATACGGTATTTATAAGATTTTAGATACATATAAAGATAGTTTGTATATGTTTTAATAATGTTAAATATGTATTTGGGTAAATTTCATATTGTTTGGAGCATTTTTTATAAGGTTTAAAAATGTGACATTTTTGAAAACTGGCATTGAAAATAAAGATAGTTTTTTAAACATAAAGTTACTTAGTTGGTTCCGAGTGGTATAAAGGTAAACCATTAAGTTCAAAAATTTTATTTAATTATAGCAAATCACTAAAGAAAAAATTCAAAAAATAACCTTTGCTACGAAAATAAATTATTAACTGAAAAATATACTAGAATTTTACTTTTGAAACATCATCTTTTCATTAGATATTAATATTGGCAATAGAGACTATAATTATAATTACAAAGTCTAATTACATAAATAAAAAACTAATCCCTAGAAGTAAAAATAATTACAATTTAAATACAAATAAAACATTAAATTATAAAATTTTATTTAGTTATATTAAATAAAAAATTTCAAAATAACAATAGGATTAATACAATAATAACAATTGGATTCTCTCCTAATCTAACACATCAGCATTTTCAGCTTTCCTGGTTATGACACATCATTAAAAAGAAACTCTAATCAAAACATTTTAAATAATACAGCTCAACTTTATTTGCCAATAATAATCTTCTATTCTGCCACGTCACTCTTTCTCTCCCCTTTTTCTGTTGTTTCATATTATTAAAAACACACAAAAACAAAAAAAAGTAACAAAGCCCAAAAGTATGATGAAAAAAATAAAATAACAAAGCCCAAAAGTAAAAGCCCACTTGATAAAGTAGTGTTGAAAACATGGAGAGACTAATTAAAATTGACAAAACACGGCTGTCTTTCTTCTTCGTCATCATCTTCCTCTCGATCGGAAAAAAAATAAAAGTTTCTATAAATCTGTTGAATCAAGCAGAGAAGAAGAAGAAAAAGAGATCATGAATCCATAATCTGATTATCTACATCTCCCTAACATCAAGATCCACCATCCTTCATCTCCTCGTCACTCTCAGCACCACTCTTCCTCCACTCCTTCAGCCGCTACTCCTACCCCAACCGTAGGTGCTCGCCGTTTACCTCTTTAAAGAAAGTGCATTCGCTGTTTGCTTTGAAAACGTGGAGAGACGAAGATTATTTTTTTGTTTTGCCTTCGCCGACAAGGTTTGTTGTCGAATCGATTTGCCATCGGAAGGAGCTCTAATAACCACCGTAAACTACCAGAAAAATCACCGACAAAATTTGTTATTGATTAAGATTTAAAGAGTACTGGGAGTACCATCTTATTTTCCAAACATGATTCAAATAGTGTCCTTCCCTTTTACCAAAAAAAAAAAATAGTGTCCTTCCCCAACATTGTTTTTTGCTTTCATTACCATCTAGATCTTTCTTTCCTTGTCATTGTTGGTAGTGTTGTAGGCATTTCATCGACAGGGAGTTATGGTAGGTTTATACAACTTATTTTAGTTATGGAAGTTTTGAATTGGTAGTACTTATTGTTGAGACTCGTGTAAAGAAGACTTCAAAAGTACACAATTGCTCGAAATCAATCATTTAATTAGCAAATAACAGCTGCGTACTTTATATATTGGAGTGCTACCTATACTTTATCAGTGTTTGCAGTCGTTTAATGGAAAATATGGTTGTTAAAATATTTCATGTGGACAGAGATATAGATTAATGATTCTAGAATTATTAATGTTTTATTTACTTACACTTCAGGTTTCCCGTGTATTTCACTTTGCCTAAATGTCATAATTTAGGTCTGGAACTATTGTTGTCCACCCTAAAGTTTGAATGCATGTATTGTGACTTGTGAGACCATAGATGATCTTTACGTAATATATTATATTGGTCTTAGGAATAGTTAAATCAATCAAGTATCAAGCGTGTAATGCATATTGAATCTCTTGAGATGATTGGACAATTGTATAATATTAATACATCCACAATTGTATTTGTATCTATCTAAAGAATGAAGGAGAGATTGTGCAAGTACCATGGGATCTACCGAAAACTTGTCGGAATTTCTCATCTACCTCTGCTTATACACTTCTTCCGTACATATATATACACTATTGTTCGTTTGGTCAATTTAGTTAATGTTGATTAAAGATGAAGGTGGAGCAAATTTCTAAAGATGTTGAAGTTAATGAATCCAAGGCCGGTAGACGAAGAGAAGAAGAATTTTGTGCATTGATTTCTTAAGTAATGTGTCACGGTCACCTTCTCATATCTGTGTATTAATTTGTTTTATTTGATTTGAAATTCAAAATAAAGTTTTTAAATGAGATGAAGTGGTGAAAATGATCTGTCAACCATCAAATTCTAAAATTTTATTTAAGTTTTACAAATCATATTTATATTAAATTCAAGTTTCGTATTTGTGTATTGTTTAAATTCAAGTTTGGATACTCTTTTGTTTGTATTACAAAAAAAGGAAGACAACTTTCATTGTCTAAACCAAAAAATACAAATTTCATTGTGAACTTTGTACTACATAATCTTAGTTTAAGCAAAAGTCATTAGTAACAAAAATAATTTATAAAAGATATCCCGCAGCGGAGCGCGGGTTTTTACCCTAGTGTAGTATAAATAAGAGAAAGATTAAAGAAAACTTGAAGAAGAATGCAATCACTTATGTAAACAACATTCCTTAGGAATGGTTATTTTAAGTTATATTTAATTTCGGATGACAAAAAAAAAAAAAAAAAAAATCAAGGAAATGCAAATAGAGCTATGTTTGCAGAGGAGATTTGCGGCCAACATTGCAAATGTGATATTCATAGACAATACATCTTCTTGTAGCTAATAGATCGGTGACGAAATAATTGCTGACATTTTGAGCTATATTAATGATTTGTGTTTATTTCTTAATATGCATTTTGAGACTTTAGATTATGATGCATTTTAGCTTTTGAAACTAATTATATCTCAAAATGCATACTAAAGAGTAAAGACAAAGCACCAATATAGTTCAAATGTCGCTAATTATATTTCATTCTCAATCTACTTCATATAAGAGGATGTATGGTCTATGAATATCACATTTGCAATGTCCGCCACAAATCCAATCCTCTCCAAACCAAGCTTGGTCAATATTTTTGTTCTCTTTTGCTTAGATGCTTTGGGTTTACACTTATATATATATATATATATATATATATATATATATATATATATATATATATATATACGTATTGTTTATGTTCTATGATTCTATCTTATATTTTCTTTAAATGACGCAAGTTCACAGTTTTTTTTTTTGTATAGAAAGCTTTAATACGAGACCAATATTTTTCACACTTATTTGCATACTTCACCTTAAATTAGAGTGTATATCTACTTTTAGTTGTTGACGAATGATTTTTTTTTAGGAGAATGATTTGTGTAAGTGTAACTCTGTTGCTGTTTATAAATTTGTAAGAAAACTAATAATTAACTCTTTTTATGTTCTTTTTTTTCTTCCCCTTCACCCAACAAAAAAAAAAAAAAAAAAACTCTTAATGGGCCAACATATGGGCCTTAAAGGCTTTTGATATATTACTATTTTATTTCACTCCAATTGCAAAAAAAACCTATCTTCTTCTTCTTCTTCTTCGCTAACAACCTCCATGAACAACAACAACACTTCATAAAACCTTCCGATAAACCTCACAATCTCCTTCCTCCTCACACTACAGTACCAAGAACACGCGCGAAAGCTATGGTAGGAGCTTCAAGAACAATCCTATCCCTATCTCTATCTTCTTCCCTCTTCACTTTCTCCAAAATCCCTCACGTTTTCCCATTTCTCCGCCTCCACAAACCTAGATTCCGCCACGCTTTTCGTCCTCTTTATTCCGCCGCCGCAACAACTTCTCCGACGACGGAGACGAATGTTACAGATCCGGATCAATTGAAACACACGATTTTGCTTGAGAGGCTTAGGCTTCGACATTTGAAAGAATCAGCGAAACCACCACAACAGAGACCGAGTAGTAGTGTTGGTGTCGAGGAAGAGAATAGTATTAGGAAGAAGAGTAAGAAGTTAGTTGAGAATTTTCAGGAGCTTGGGTTAAGTGAGGAAGTAATGGGAGCTTTACAAGAGTTGAATATTGAGGTTCCTACGGAGATTCAGTGTATCGGAATACCCGCGGTTATGGAGCGGAAGAGCGTTGTATTGGGATCGCATACCGGTTCTGGGAAGACTCTTGCTTACTTGTTGCCTATTGTTCAGGTGCTTAGTGAGCTTTGTAGTTGAATGTTGCAGCATACATTAGTGTTTGGCTCTTGAATTACTTGTTTGCTAGTGATTTGGTTTGTTTCTTTGTTTTATAGTGTATATAGCTCACTTGGTCTCAATGTTGTGTTGATTCATTAGGGTAATGTGTAGAGAATTCAAGATGGTTATATCGCTATGGCGGTTTAAGTTGTGTTGATTTGATTTTTGTAGCTGATGAGAGAAGATGAGGCAAACCTTGGTAAAAAAACAAAGCCGAGGCGTCCGAGGACTGTTGTTCTTTGTCCTACAAGAGAGCTATCTGAGCAGGTACTCTAGTACTTTTGTTTGTGTCTTTAACAATATTAGTTACTGTTTTCGATAAACGCACGTCTTAGGAGTTTTTCAGCAATCGTAAATGTGGTTTCTTTGTTTAGTTCGACTATTGAAACAATATGACCTTTCGGTTTCGGGGAAAAAGGAAAAGTTGGAATCTTTATTTTCCAAGAAAGTCTTGGTTGCCTTCTTATAGGATGATGATAAAGTTGGAAAATGATTTAATATGTGATTATAGCATTTTGTGCCAGTTTGTTATATATCATAACTGTTTTTAGACAGAGAAATGGCGAAAGAAAAACTAATTGAGAAGTCTGCATTAGGTTTACCGTGTGGCGAAGTCCATAAGCCATCACGCGAGGTTTAGATCTATATTGGTTAGTGGTGGTTCTCGGATAAGACCGCAGGAGGATTCTTTGAACAATGCAATAGATATGGTTGTTGGAACCCCTGGTAGGATTCTTCAGCATATTGAAGAAGGAAACATGGTCTATGGAGATATCGCATATTTGGTACGCTCCACTTTGGGATCTTGACATTATGTTCCATGATTCTTATGGTTTTGGGATCTACATGAAACTAATGGCAATGAGAATCTTTTTACTCAGGTGCTGGATGAGGCAGACACTATGTTTGATCGTGGCTTTGGTCCCGAAATTCGTAAATTCCTTGCCCCACTGAATCAGCGTGCGTTAAAAGAAAATGACCAAGGATTTCAAACCGTCTTAGTGACTGCTACTATGACAACGGTATGCACATGTTCATTGGGCTCAATATTACACGCTTGCACCATTTCTTTGCTATTATCATGATTTATAAATTCGTTGCTCCATGCATCTTGAACTTCAGATATTAAGGTAGTGAATGAAATTGTGAGTTTACAGGCTGTTCAGAAGTTAGTCGATGAGGAGTTTCAAGGGATAGAGCATTTGCGAACATCAACATTGCATAAAAAGATAGCAAACGCTCGCCATGACTTCATCAAGCTTTCAGGTGGTGAAGATAAGCTAGAAGCACTTCTACAGGTAAAATGCATCATTAAGATTCCGATTTATTACGGCAATCAGACATGTTAGGGTTCTTGTTTGAGTGCAAATGTGTCCCAAGTTACATGCACATTCTTTCTGGTATGCGCCTGTGTTACGGATACCTAACTTTGCTTTAATGAGAATGCAGGTTCTTGAACCCAGCTTAGCCAAAGGGAGCAAGGTGATGGTCTTCTGTAACACTTTGAACTCCAGTCGTGCTGTTGATCACTTTCTTTCTGAAAACCAGATCTCCACTGTAAATTATCACGGTGAAGTTCCAGCAGAACAAAGGTGGGATTAATACAGCTTACCCTAAAACGTAATCCATTTCTTGAGGAGTGCATTGCTTAATATTAAGGTGTAAAATTGGTTTGCACTCATCTATCCAGGGTTGAGAATTTGAAAAAGTTCAAGGACGAAGAAGGAGACTGTCCCACTCTGGTGTGCACGGATTTGGCTGCGAGGGGTCTGGACCTTGACGTTGATCATGTAGTCATGTTTGATTTCCCAAAGAACTCTGTAAGTATCTTGACCAAATGTTCCTGCCTATAATATTTCTTCTCTTAAACTTGTTGATACACTCTTCTTGACACCTTAGTTTTATTTAAACTTGAGTTCCTTAGATTGACTACCTTCATCGCACCGGAAGAACAGCTCGGATGGGTGCTAAAGGTTTGTTTCATACCTCTAGATTACTTGTTAAGACTCTTCGTATTTCAGATTGTTTCAGCTAGGGTGCCGAATCCAGTTTTCAGATTCTTTGTTATTATGAAATATAGAAAAAGAATGATAACCAAAATTGAATACTATTTGGTTTCGGCTGAGTTCAGTTTTCTTACAAAGCATTTGAAGAATTTTAGGTTTTAATAGGCTTAATTCATTCTTGGTTCGGTTTCGGTTATGGTTTGAGGCGCTGAAAGTGTTGACATTGTCTCTTTACAGGAAAAGTGACAAGTCTAGTGAGTAGGAAGGACCAAATGTTAGCAGCACGAATCGAAGAAGCAATGAGAAACAACGAGAGCTTAGAATCACTCACCACTGATAATGTGAGGAGAGACGCTGCAAGAAGCCAAATCACTCAAGAGAAAGGAAGAAGCGTTAAGCAGATGAGAGAAGTAAGCAAGCAACGAAACTCCAGAGACAAACCGTCATCATCTCCTCCTGCAAGATTAACAGGTGGGAAGACATCCGTGAGAAAGTCAAGTTCAAGTTCATTTTCAAAACCCAGAAAAGCATCATCTCCTCCAGAGAAATCTTCAAAGCCGAAAAGAAAAATATTGAAAGCGGTTGGATCCAGATCGATTGCTGCGAGGGGGAAGACAGGTTCAGATAGACGACCAGGAAAGAAACTAAGTGTTGTTGGGTTCAGGGGAAAGTCTTCTTCGGCAAGAGCCTCTTGATGAAAGTTAACGTTAGTGGTAAAAGTGAATTATGTTCGGGTTATGATTACAAAAGCGTTAAGAGATGAATCATCTTGGGAGATAATAATATTTTCTTTCTTCTATGCAGTTTGTATCGATCGATAGAAGAAGTTCACTTTTGAAACTCATAAACTATTAGAAGTCTGTATATGACATGAATGGTTATGGCGTGGAGAAATAATTTGTTTATTTGTTTAAATTAATGTTGTTAAGTGTTCAATGGTAAGACATGATTAGTGGAAGGTTTGAGAGGAGGCTAGCACCTCTGTGTCCTTAAGTTCTAGGGGACAGTCCCTGGACCTTAGTGGATGTGAGGCATAATCGTACGATCAGAGGGGTGGTTGACGGCTACGACACTCTTAGAGTTTCTGGAGGTTGCTGGGGGTGGTCCGCATGGCGGTCTGACAGGTTCCCTTTTATTTTCCCGGGCTCGTATTTGGGTTTTGCTCCTAACTATGATAATGATACATGTTCAGAGATTATAATTTTTTTGGTTAGTATATCACAAAGAAACGATGTATTAATCACTCGGTGTGGGATATCTCTACTACTAGCCTCCTCTCAACTCTCCCCTAAGCATATTTTTTCTTATTTTTTGAGCAATGCATTCTCGACTGCATATTTTCCATCAAAAACCAACATTTAACCAAACGTATATCCACGCCATAAAAGACAAACCCATAACTAATTATAGAGAACATGACTGATTAATGCTGCAGATTCAATTCAATCCGACTAATAAAAAATTTAGAGGGCAAACCGATAAACCCGAGGACATCCACGTTTCCAGCATAATCCATAAAGGCTGGAGCTAATCTTAATGCTCTTCCTTTTACCTCGTCAAAACGGTTAATATTCATAGAAGTTGACTCCTTGTTCATACTTGATAATAAGACCATAGTGGAAAAGTGATGGTATTTTTCTCTCTTATATATAAAAAAAATATACTATTGATATAATTTCTTTTAGAGTAAAAAGGTGAGGACAATGTCCGATGATCCGACTAATTTACTTAAAAGGAATGACCGCACAAAGGTTGGAAGAATGCTGAGGATACTTTTCCGATGATGCGAATACTTTTTTGTCAAATCTCTAAAAAAAATAAGTCTAGGGGAGAGAAAGATTACCAAAAAAAATGTGAAAATGGTTGATTTATGGGAGATTGACACAAATAGCCCCCAAAAAGTTGTTTTTTTCCAAAAATAGCACCTCATTTGAAAAGTTCCACAAATAGCACCATAAACTTCGATTAAACTTAATTAAAATATAAGATAGAATATAAAAAAGAGAGCAAACACTAATCTAATATTAAATTGAATCAAAATTGTTTTTAAATAGTGGAAATATATACCCTAATTTGGAAATAGGGAACCCAAATATAATACCACAAACTAATATTAAAATAAAAATCTATTCTAAATGGTGAAAATATATATCCTAAATTGGAAATAGGGAACCCAAATATAATACCATAAACTAATATTAAAATGAATCAAAATCTCTTTTAAATGGTGGAAATATATACCCTAAATTGGAAATAGAGAACCCAAATATAATATTTTAAATTTATTTTGTTGAATAGCTTTTATATAAAAGTTGTGGTATTATTGAAAAAAAAAAGCTAGTGATAAAATTTTTAGAACAAAAACACTAATAGTAAGTTAACTAGTGCTATTTTTGGAAGTTTATTGAGTGTGTGCTATTATTGTCAATAAAACTTGTTTTAGGGCCATTTTTAGGAATTTCTCTTGATTTATCATGGTGTATATATATATTGTCTTTCTCTTTAGACCTTTAGCTTTCAGAGATTGATTTTGTCATTTTATTGCGAACTTTCCATACTCATTTATTTTATTTTATTTTATTTTTTATTTTGTTTCTATTTTAAATAATTCAATGTTGCAATTGTGCTCTTTCTACCTATTCTGATAATTTGAAAATAATTCTTTTTTGTTTTTAATAAGTTCATAATGTTTGTATTACTATCAAATACATTTATACATTTACTTTCATAATTTCTTATATTATATTAATGAAAAGCTAAAAATTAAAAGTACACATAATTATATTTTTAGTTTTGCTGTCAATTTTAAATATATTATAAACGATAATATTTAGCTATATTTTGATATTTTGTTTAGTTTCACTTATAAACTAATTAACTATTATTTTAATTAGTAATTTGTCATAAGATTCATGATTATATATATTTTACTGAAAATGAAAAATGTATGAAATTTCAACTTTCATACAATTTTAGAACTACTGAAGATATTGATTTATAAATATGTCATAAGATTCATCATTATATGTTTTTCTTGAAAATTGAAAAATGTATAACCTTTCAACTTTCATAGAACTTTATAAATACCTAACATATTAATTTTTAATATATCAATTTTATAACAGAAATGTTTCTAAAATTTTATATATGAATAATCTTAAAGATTTTTTCACTAAAATTCAAATTATATTATTACGTATAACATATTTCATAGTTTTTTTACTTAATATATCAATTTAAAAATTGAAATGTTTCTAAAATTTTATATATGATCAATCTTAAACACTTTTTCGCTAAAGTTCAAATTATATTTTTACATATAACATATATCATAGTTTTCTACTTATAATATAAATTCATTTGTCTTTAACTTAAAATTTTTAATCATAAATAACAATAAATATAAATAAGTATGTATTAAATTAAAATTTTATATAAATTTTAGTTTATAAATTTAATTAAATAGACGCTTAGGTAGACGCTGATGCGGATGCTGATGTGGATAGCTTAGATGGAGAGAAAACTATCTCATTATATATATAGATTATCATTATTTTGGTAATTTTTAACCATAAAACAAAAACTAAAAATTAAAATAGATTAAAATGTTTTGAAAGATAATTATGTATAAAAGCCAAAAACTGAAATAATTACTATTCAAGATTTTGCAAAAACTAAAATCTACACCAAAAATCAAAAACCAAAATCCAAAAACTAAAAACCAATAAAGAAACAACAAAGCATTCAGGTCCTTAGTTATCATTTAGAGATTTTTAAGGAATGTAATAGAATTGGATTGAATAGAATTAAATACATCAATTAGAGATTTTTAAGGAATGTGAACAGATTTTCAAATCCAATAAATTCTATTAAATTCTATTAAATCCATTAAATTTTAAGGAATGAAATTCTATTAAATTCTGTCAAATTCATTGGTTCAATAACCCCCTTATAAGTGCGAACTAAGTACGAAGAGTGCTCCGAAAAATCCTCCTCAAGAAAGAGAAAATGCTCCGAACCTAGCGAAATGAAGAATGTGAGTGTTTATTTTCTTTTGAAAAGAATCAAAGTAACCCAGAAATTGATTTATAAATGTTTTTTTTTTAGAGATCAAAATCAAAATTGAAGAGAGATTGTCGAAGAATCCGAGTAATTAGCGATTACAAGAATGCTCCCATTCTCCCTCATGGCTTTGACGTTACTCTACTGATCCCCATGTTTCAAGGCCATCTCCAATCTCATGGCTACTGGGGAGAAATTTCTGTTGAGTTTGTTGTATCAGATGGAACAGCTCCCGCTAAAATTAACTCGAATACCGACGACAACTTAGAGGCTGAACAGGATAGAGACGGACAACTCTTTCTTACCGATTTAGAAAAACGTGAGCTCATTTCCTTTGATTCAATTCTTTATTTGATAGTGATTAAATCTGTTGAAAATGATTAAAGTTTATCTTGTTAATTCTTCAGCTGACACCAAACAAGCATCGGACGATTACATCAACTTAACGATGACGGATTGGCTTGATTTATATGACAATGAACTGATTGGCTCTATGTCCAAAATGGCAAAGACGAAGGTGGATTTTCAAAATCCACCAAATCCTCTTCCATAGTGGTGGTTAGCTTGAACTGTCAAGGACTTGGAAGCACCATTAGAGTTCCAAGATTAAAGGAGATTCGCACAGAATTCTTCCCAAACATTCTGTTTCTCATGGAAACCAAAAATCAAGATAATGTTGTTTTTCATGTATTTCAATCGATGGGGTTTGTTAATAAATTTACAGTGCCTCCACAAAGTCTGAGTGGAGGGCTAGCTTTATTTTGGAAGGATGATGTGAAGATTGATATTCTCTCTTCTTCTCAGAACTTCATTGACACGAAGTTAAAATTCCAGCAAGTTGAGTCTTTCATTACTTTCATGTATGGAGCTCCACAAGTGGAGAATAAAGTAGGACGGGATTTCTGCTCCAGGAGCTGCTAGAGATGAAGCCCGACTCTTAACAGGCGATTTTAGCGAGATTCTAGAGAACACCGATGTAACGCCCCGACCGTCCCTACCAGTGGGCCCCACGTCCTCTCTCGGGCCCATGGGCCTACTCCTGTCCGACGGCCGGTCCGCTACGTCCGAGAGGCTTTAAAGACTTGTTTACCGACCATACAAATCACATCATGATCTTTCCCTGTGTTTTTTCCTCACTCACACAGTTCCGACAATCACTTCCCAGAAGGTCACCCATCCTGAAACTACTCCAGCCCAAGGACAGTTGACCGAACAGATAAGTGCACTTTTGTGACATAGGTGGCCAAATCAATTCTTTTAAACCTCTCCGCATGCACCACCATATTCCTGAAACCAGGGTGTTACAACCGAAAAGGTGGGCGGACCAGTTAGAGCTGAGGGTTCTTTCATACCTTTCCGTAGTTTCTTATCCGAAAACAGGCTATGGGACGTTCAACATTTAGGTAAATATGCTCTCCTGGAGAGGACAAAGGCATTCTCATTTCATCCTCTCTAGGTTGGATAGTTCTCTTGCAAACATAGCCTGGTAAGAAAAGTTTCCCTTAGGGAGATGCAGGTACCTTCGCTTCGAAGGTTCAGACCACAAGCCGCTTATTACTTACTTTGATCCCACAAAGGTTAAAGTTAAAGGTTTGTTCTGATTCGATAGAAGGCTCATAGGAAAGGAAGAAATAAGGAATCTAGTCTCAGATGCTTGGAGAGCCAGAGAATCAGGGACTCTGTTAGCAAAGTTTAATCGGTGCAGTCGAGAGTTGATCTCTTGGACAAAAGAACAAATACAATTAAAAGTACAAGCTATTAAAAATGACCAAGAAGCCCTTGAATCTGCATTATCAGCGT